CCTATTGCATCCCAGTCCCTATCTCTGTTGAATGCCAGATTCTGTTGCATTCAAGCCCGGTCCCTGTTGCATCCCAGCCCCTGTCCCAGTTGCATCCCAGTTCCTATCTCTGTTACATCCCAGTCCCTATCTCTGTTGCATCCCAGTCCCTGTCACATCCTAGTCCCAGTTGCATCTCAAGTCCCTATTGCATCCCAGTCCCTATCTCTGTTGAATGCCAGATTCTGTTGTATCCCTGTCCCTATCTCTGTTGCATCCCTGTCCCTATCTCTGTTGTATCCCTGTCCCTATCTCTGTTGCATCCCAGTCCCTATCTCTGTTGTATCCCAGTCCCGTATCTCCCTGTTGTATCCCTGTCCCTATCTCTGTTGCATGCCAGTCCCTATCCTGTTGCATGTCCGTTGTATCCCTGTCCCTATCTCTGTTGCATCCCTGTCCCTATCTCTGTTGCATCCCTGTCCCTATCTCTGTTGTATCCCTGTCCCTATCTCTGTTGCATCCCTGTCCCTATCTCTGTTGCATCCCTGTCCCTATCTCTGTTGTATCCCTGTCCCTATCTCTGTTGCATCCCTGTCCCTATCTCTGTTGCATCCCTGTCCCTATCTCTGTTGTATCCCTGTCCCTATCTCTGTTGTATCCCTGTCCCTATCTCTGTTGTATCCCTGTCCCTATCTCTGTTGCATCCCTGTCCCTATCTCTGTTGCATCCTTGTCGTTGTATCCCAGTCCCTATCTCTGTTGCCATCCCAGTCCAGATCTCTGTTGTATCCCTGTCCTATCTCTGTTGCATCCCTGTCCCTATCTCTGTTGCATCCCTGTCCCTATCTCTGTTGCATCCCTGTCCCTATCTCTGTTGCATCCCTGTCCCTATCTCTGTTGCATCCCATGTCCCTATCTCTGTTGCATCCCAGTCCCTATCTCTGTTGCATCCCTGTCCCTATCTCTGTTGTATCCCTGTCCCTATCTCTGTGTTGTATCCCTGTCCCTATCTCTGTTGTATCCCCCTATCTCTGTCCCTATCTCTGTTGTATCCCTGTCCCTATCTCTGTTGAATCCCTGTCCCTATCTCTGTTGTATCCCTGTCCCTATCTCTGTTGTATCCCTGTCCCTATCTCTGTTGTATCCCTGTCCCTATCTCTGTTGTATCCCTGTCCCTATCTCTGTTGAATGCCAGATTCTGTTGTATCCCTGTCCCTATCTCTGTTGCATCCCAGTCTCAGTCCCTGTTGAATGCCAGTCCCTGGGTACATTGGTAGTGCTCATGATGCTGATCACCGGATTGTCTGGTCCGGGCTCGACTACATACAGAACACCATCATATAGTTGGTATATTGCTGAGTGAGGTGTTAAACAACAATCAGATCAGATGAATAATGGATAGCAACTATTACATGGAGACCTATCCACTCCTAGCCATAGCAACTTGCTTGGCAGAACCAGTAACCACAAATCAAATATTGCCTCATTCTGTTTAGTGTCCATGTTGACTTTCCTACTTGGCAATGCAACACATCTCTCTCAGTCTCTCTCTCACTACCATACCTTCCCTGAGTGGCATCAAGAAGTTGGTTTGATGGACAAAGACAAGTTCTCATGGATAAACAACTTATTTAACACAAAATAAGTGACGTGGAAAGACAGCACACTTAAAATTGCCTCAACTGTAATAAAGAAGTCGTTTATCCATAAGTAACTGTATGCAGCTCAGTATTGTGTGTTGCTGCTCAACTCTGCCAAATGATGCTTTGCTAAAAAGTAGATCATGCTTCACATTGTGACAAAACCTACACAATATGAAGTGTGAGGATCTTGGTGGGTGTCACCGGAGTAAGGCTGTGAGTTGGCTTCTAGTGACTTTGTTCAAGAGGCATTTAAACGGAGACATGGCTCTGGACATTTAGCCCAAAGAGTGAGTAAGTGAGTTTAGTTTTACACCGAATTCACCAATATTCCAGCTATATGGCGGAGGTCTGTAAATAATCGAGTCTGGACCAGACAATCCAGTGATCAACAGCACGAGCATCGATCTACACAATTGGGATATGATAACATGCATCAACTAAATCGGCTAGCCTGACCACCTGATCCTGTTAGTTGCCTCTTATGACAAGCATGGGTTGCTGAAGTCCAATTCTAGCCCGGACCTAAATGGGTTAGGGGCTTGCCACTCTCTGGACAGACCCCTGTCCACTAGACCACAATGGCAGTCTGTCTGGCTGTAGATGTGACATAGACAGCAGAGCAATGTCTCAATGTCAAACGCAGCCCTAATTATAACACCTAGCTCTGGACTGATATAGAAGTCTGTGGTCCACAGATTCCCTTTCACAGAGCTAATGATATCCTAAACAACTGATTTGATGCAATTACCTTTCTTTCATATCGATGTGAGCAAACTTCAATACAAGCTGTCATTTCACTGACATTATTCATTCGCTGATCCACCTCAAGAGAAAAACTCCAAATTGAATTAACTTTAATAAGATAAAACATGAACAAATACCATTTCTTCTAAATAACCTTAGTGCTTTAATTTGCTTTGCCATGTTTTAAAATAATTAATATTTTCAATTTCTACAGCAGGATGAAGAAATGCTCAAACCACTGTGATTTCCTGAATAGGATCAAAAGCAACAAGCCAATTTACATCCAATCTCAGCTGATCTTTTCCCAGCTTATCAAAAGCCCCGAAGGCTCCAGTGATTGCTGCAGTTCCATACAGGTGTGCAAATGCCAATTATGTAATCATTCATCATATTCCCAGAAGCACTGATTACGTTTCTCTAGACTGAAAGAAAAGGGGTCTTTCATTCCACTGGATCTGAGGGAGTTGGTGCACAAATTATCACAGCAATATCTCAGATATCTGACAGGCAGATATCAATTTCATCATATCATTATCCTACAACACAATATGTATCTGAACAGGTAATATTTTTCTTTCCCACCTAATGTCCTAAATTGTTCAGACAACATCTTCCAGAATTCAAATTATCCTGGAAATTGCTGGCTTACAATATGTTCTGTTCTGTTTCAGAATGAGGCCATGTTTAACAGGGTAACAATGTTGTGATGTCAAATTTCAATCTGCAGAGAGCCAAATGTGCCTTGCTGCCATGACCAGATATTGATTTCTGGATGGTATCTAACAAATATGTAAATCATTAAGTGATATTAGTATTTCAGATGTATGATATCACTATACAAGCTATTTCTTGTATCTTATCTTGATCAACACATCTGATACATCATATATACATCCCTTTTTCAGCTACATGATATCAGTATATCACCCAAACCATATAAATATTTATGCTATATGATATTGATATCTCAGGTACATATCAATATCTCAGTTTTATGAGGTAAATATCTCAGCCTTATAATATTGATATTAAATGTTAAATGTTATCAGTATATCAGTTATATCTTATTATCTCAGTTCTATTACATTAATATTACAGTTATATGATATAAAAATCTAATGTATATAACATATCAATGTCTCATCAATTTCATATCGGAATCTCAGGTAATCTCAGGTATATCATATGAAAATTTCAGCTATGTGATATGAATATCTGTGCTCTAACATATTAATATCTCAGTTTTATCATATAAATATTACAGCAATTAACAGTAACTAGTGTTGGAATCCATATCATATCATTATATAACTTTATCATATCAGCACGTGGCTTACCATACCAATATATGTGGTACATCATACCTATGTGTGAGCTGTGGCATACCTATGTCTGAGCTTTATCATACCTACATCTGAGCTATATCAAACCTATGTCTAAGCGATGTCATACCTATGTCTGAGCTATATCATACCTATATCTGGGCTATATCATACCTATGTCTGAGCTATATCATACCTATGTCTGAGCTATATCATACCTATGTCTGAGCTATATCATGTCTAAACTATATCATACCTATGTCTAAAGCTAAATCATACCTATGTCTAAGCTAAATCATACCTATGCTAAAAATCATACCTATGTCTGTCTCATAGTCTAAGCTAAATCATACCTATGTCTGAGCTAAATCATACCTATGTCTGAGCTAAATCATACCTATGTCTGAGCTATATCATACCTATGTCTAAGCTAAATCATACCTATGTCTGAGCTAAATCATACCTATGTCTGAGCTATATCATACCTATGTCTGAGCTAAATCATACCTATGTCTGAGCTAAATCATACCTATGTCTAAGCTAAATCATACCTATGTCTAAGCTAAATCATGTCTGAGGCTATGTCATACCCTATGTCTGGCTAAATCATACCTATGTCTAGGCTAAATCATACTAAATCATACCTATATCTAAGCTATATCATACCTATGTCTAAGCTAAATCATACCTATGTCTAAGCTAAATCATACCTATGTCTAAGCTAAATCATACCTATGTCTGAGCTATATCATACCTATGTCTAAGCTAAATCATACCTATGTCTGAGCTAAATCATACCTATGTCTGAGCTAAATCATACCTATGTCTAAGCTAAATCATACCTATGTCTAAGCTAAATCATGCCTATGTCTGCTGGCTATCATACCTATGTCTAAGCTAAATCATACCTATGTCTAAGCTAAATCATGCCTATGTCTGAGGCTAAATCATACCTATCATACCTATGTCTAAAGCTAAATCATACCTATGTCTAAGCTGGAAGCTAAATCATACCTATGTCTGAGCTATGTCATACCTATGTCTAAATCATTTTCTATGTCTATAATCTAAAGCTTCATATCATCCTATGTCTGGCTATATCATGCCTATGTCTAAGCTAAATCATACCTATGTCTGAGCTATATCATACCTATGTCTAAGCTAAATCATGCCTTATCATATATGTCTGAAGCTATATCATACCTATGTCTGAGCTATATCATACCTATGTCTAAACTATAGCATACCTATGTCTGAGCTATATCAAACCTATGTCTAAGCTAAATCATACCTATGTCTGAACTATAGCATACCTATGTCTGAGCTATATCATACCTATATCTGAGCTGTATCATACCTGTGTCTAAACTACATCATGTCTGAGCTATATCATACCTATATCTGAGCTATATCATACCTGTGTCTAAGCTACATCATGTCTAAGCTGATATCATCCTGTGTCTAATACATCATGTCTGAGCTATAGGGCCTGTTGGTCTCAATGTCTATCGCTATTTCTGGTACAAAGCTGGTTCCCATGTCTAAGCTATCCTTTAAGCGCTGGCAACTTGGTCGATATGCGCTAGATGGAGCGTAGCTTACATCCGGATGGATGCGTACCAGATTTCCGGTGACAAGTGTATGTTCAAGAACCAGTTCTGGTTCCAAATTGCACGACCACCAAATAGGACTTTACTAGACCAAGTGTACAACCATGCTTAGCTGTCACAGCTGTTGACAGTCATAATAGTTGGCTAATTTGGGGATGGTTAGATCAGAAATTTGTATCACTGCAAGGATTATCGGTCAACTGACAACCATGAGACCATTCGAAAGGTATGAAACGTTGTTTGTCACTGGAAGTAGTAAGGTCTCACGAAGTGCAGTGACCTACTTGCAGGCCCTATATGGTATCAGTATCTCAACTGTATCAAATCAATACGCCTGATTACTATTTCAGGCATAACTCTTCCATCGAGCAGTGTTTGCATGGATGCGGAAACTGGTTAACACAGTCACTGTGCAGTGTTTGTGTGGATGAGTGTACAATGACAGCTTACTGATAAAACAGACAAGTAAAAACTGTAGTTTGATCACAATCAGCTTCCAGACTGTCAGACATTATTCCCTTTCAACATTCAGTGGCTAATTCACATTATCAGGAAGAGTTAAATTGATTCGAAACCTGTCAAAAGCAGCTTTCTGGAAGAATATATCTTTTTAGATGATTTGTATATTGTCACAATATAATATTGCCACTTACAACATATTTTCAATAGCAGAAGATGCTTGGTACTTTGTCTACACAGAAAGTATACATTTCTTTTTCTGTTTGCTATAAATGTACAATATTGGTCTAAGGGAGGTAACTCTCCCATGAAAGCTTTAAAGGAGCACTGTTGTGCTTTCATAAATCTAAAAGCTAACCTTTTGGATTGACTCTCATAGCAAGTACATACAACACCTATTCACAATATTTCATTATGTAAGAAACAATAGAAAGATATAAATAAATTTTAGTTTCACATGTTTCAAACAGTGTTTAGAAATATCATCTTTATTACCTTACCTTACTGTTCAGTGTCACCCTCAGCTATATTTGAGCTATATTACAAAAGTCTGTCAAAAGTCTGGACCAGACAAACCAGTGATTGATATTATGAGTACCTATTGAGTATCAAGTACATTTTGACATGCTCACAACCAAGTTGGTGCCTGACGACTTGATTCTTTAAGTTGCCTCGAATATATGTGTCAGTGGCTTGTGACCTGAGGTGTGTTCAGACAGGTGTGTTCAGAACTGCGAGTGCCCGCGCTACTGCTTCCCATGAGTGCTCGCATTGGCCCTGAACGGACGCGAGCGCTTGGTTACACTAAACCATTTGTGACCAACTCGTGTTATTCCGGGACAAGCCGAATAGCTTCTTGTCTTCTTGTTAGAGGTTACGGAAAGGGGCGAGTGTTGGCGAATGACATTAAACATGGTCGCCATTTTGGTTCGCTTGGCGAGGCAGCTGTAAGGATGGTTCGCGTGAGCGCGGGTGCTCGAACGGGGACAGGCGTTCAGGATCAAGTGCTCGCTAGCGTTCATGGGCACTCGCGGTTCTGAACATGCTTCTGGTCTCCCCATGGGGCTGGAGCATATTCACCCCATTTTGTACCATGGCAACATTTTATGAGAGGCAAATGTAGAGTTGTACAACTGAGATAGAAGTGGACTGTGAATGACTGTTGTAAGTGAGCACACAACATATTGATGCCTCATGCATGAGTAACTAAGTTCAAGTCTGGATAATGTACACAATATCAGGATAACCTAATCAATGTTTATTTCGTCATTAACCTTCCCACAAAATGTTGAATCTTAGTTGGACAACAAACAGAACATACCTGACTGTAGAACTTGTAAAGTTCATCATGGGAAAATTCTATTCGGATCTTTTCTTTTTCCTGAAATTCAAGCATTCATAATGTTATTCTTGAAATAAACAAATGTTTGAGTTACAGAAATAACAAAACTTGTTAAAATAAAATAAAAAAAACAACAGACAGAAATAAATGATAATTTTGAAAACATATCTACATTTTCTTGCTTATTCTCCCATTCACAATATGTTATCTTATTCACAATATTTCACTTATATTATGGCATATAAGTTTAGAAAAGGAGGAACCCTTGAAATGACTCAGGTTACTTTGGCACACATTTAATGAAACCCATTACCTTGATGCTGCCAACAAACCAAGTATATTCTTCAGTGCAAATATATGTTTCAAACAAATGAGCATAATTAAGCGGAACAAGTCAGTACATCTTATATGAGTTAGCCACCCACTCCTCTGTGAATTATGTTATAGTTCTATCTTTCAGAGATGCTGTGAGGCTACCATCATGGGTTTTAAGATGGTCACATACCGTATATTACCGTAAATAAGCCAACCCTAACTTGACCCTTAAAATCAGTGTCAAAGCGTATGTTTTCGGTGTTAAGCTATCGCGCACGCGCCGCGCGCGAGCATATGCCTTGCGCGACGCGCGCGCCGCGCCGCGCCGCGCCGCGATGCTTGCGCGCGCCCACGCACACACGCCACACACACACACGCACGCCGCGATGGGATCCTAATCGCGGCACGCTCTGACGCACAAGACAACGACGCGCCTGTTACGCGACGCACGCCGGATGTTGACCACAAGAAACAGGCAGTTACCGTCCTGGTTAAACGTATATGTTTGGTGAAAATAGTATCTAATAAAGATTTTACTGACCCATAACGTAGGAACCTGTGTTTGTTTTCTTTTTAATATCATGACGATCACTGATGGTATCAACAACGAGACGGTAATTTTACTCTTAATGTTAAAAATATATTATATTAACTGCAGTGAAATCGTATCCCTCTGATATTTATAACTTCGGCCCACATTATTCACAGCAATCACTTACATACTGCATCTAGCTACTCACTCACGGTACCTACTTGTGAAATGGATCAAGGAATTCTCACAGATTTATGTTACAGATTTAAGGGTAGGTGTAAATATAAGGACATACTATTATTACTTGGTGTCTGACATTGTCATCATCAAAGTAAAAAGATGACAAATAAAGAGCCACTGAAGGATGTGGTTAAGGGTTTTTAAGTTTGAAAATAAAGTCTATTTAAGATCAAGTAAAATTTCATTTTTAAAACTGAATATGGCAAAATAACCAAAATTAACAAAGCTGTATTGAAGTTGTTGAGTACAAGAACTGAAACAAAACAAAATCCAGTCAAAGGGAGATAACTCCTCTTCACACCTTACCTCAGTTGCCTCATCACCAACTTTAAGTTCAAATAAAGCATTTGGTGACTTTAATTTAGTTTTATTTGACTGCGCCATCTGCAAGTTTAGTCGCCAGTTAACAGCCTCAAGCTGAAATGAGACCAAATGAACATTTAAGATACACACATATACCAATTCTATACCAATACCAATCTAATGTATCTAAATATGGGATATTCTTCCCTTGGCAAAAAATGAAGACATAATGTATATCAAATTGACATAGTTACAGATGGCCTCGCACCTGTTTAGGCACCAGAGTTCTCTCCCTTAGCTTCTGTACGGTCTCTTTGGCACAACTTGTCCACTTCTCTACAATGGCCTGAACCTGTAACAAACAGCTCAATGTAATCGCACAGGGTAACCCAGAGGTTAATGATGAAGGCCCAGTTTTGATCAATAGCACAGGTACAATGTGAAGCCCATTTCTGGTGTCCCTTTCCATCATATTGAATTAATATTGTTAAAAGCGTCACTATAGTCAAAGTCAGTCACTCTGATTGGGACATTGTCCATCTCCATGTCCATTTTCCAGAAAGGTGGAGGGGTGCAAACGATGACTTTTTGAGACATATATCAAGCATTTTCCACATTTGGAAGCTATTATGGTGTTTTGGAAACTAAATTTAAACATACTAACAACACTACTTTTTCAAGAAACATACACGACAACTCTAGTAAATCTGCCAAAAACACCCTCTTCATTAACCATTACTAGCAGGGGATTCAAGGAACATGTACATAGGTATTTTAATCAATCATCAGATCTCACCTTGTCATCATCTATCTCCAGCTGCTGCAGCTGGCTTGTGAGGACTGCTGGTTTTGCCGTGTGGTACGCAGCCTGCAAATCAGGAGACACCAATGTTAGAAACAGACACAAGAAAATGATATTTGTTGGTAAAATATCAAAACAATTGTCATGACTGAATCAAACACTGGCTAGATGATCACTGGTGATACTAACATGTATGACATGTGAGCAGTTACTTTGAGACAAACATGCCTTAAGCTTGGTTTGACTGTCTCAAGGGTTTTGTCTTACATGGTTTCAATTTTGGGTAACATTACATTGCCTCATTCGGTGACTGGGAGTAAACGTTTCTTCAGGCGGCTATGGACTCATATTTGCCATTACTAAGACCAGTATGGACCATTTGCTTACCTATATCAGCCTTGGATAATTGCAGGGGCCATAAATACAACATAGCTTAAAAATAACTGAAGATGGGTTACACATGCTATCCTTCATAAGCTTAATCTTGAACTTCAATAACATTTATCATCGATGTCATATCTTCACTCCAAAAATGTCACAGTTGAGGTTTTTCAGTTACTATTTCTTCTGATCATTTTGGGGCATTTTTTCACTGAATCACCAATAAACATGATAAACAGGTAGAAAATGTGTTCACAACTGATTGTTGTGTAAAGCTTAGTAAACAAGACAATGTGATATTAATGTTGTGATTTACCAGTCAATGTAATCTTGGTGGTCCAGGTAGGAAAACTACTGTGCATACAGGCCCTTTACAGTATTTTGTTATGTCCAAAATTGAAAATTATGTATGAACTTTTCTTGAATTTCCCAATCACTGTATGTAAATAATAATCAAATTTCCTTCTAATAAGGTAAAACACATTTGTATTTCAATAACATATGGTTACACTAAAATTTCCTTTATGCTTGATTGATATCAAACAAAATCAATTTTGAGAAGTTTCAATCGATCCATATAATTACAACAGTTCTGAATTTGATGAACAAAGCCTATTTCATTCATCTACATGAGGTTCCATGCTCTTCCTGTTGTAACCATGCATGCAACACAGTTCTAGACCTGTGAAGACCTGGGTTAGAATAGGTCTTCAGTAACACATGCTTATCATAAGACGCAACTAACAGGATTGGGTGGTCAGGATTGCTGACTTGGTTGACACGTCATCTTATACCAATTGCGTAGAGCGATGCTCATGCTGTTGATCAATGGATTGACTGGTCCAGACTTGGTAATTTACAGATCACCGCCATATAGCTAGTATATTGCTCAGTGCAGCGTAAACAACAAGCAATCCAAAATCTTACAGTTTTATGGATTTATTGCTGAGAACAGTTGTCAATGGTCTTGTAAAACATTATAAGGAGTCATGAACATGTCACTTACAGTTTCACTTGCTAGGTCGAAGGGTATCCAAATCACAATGGCAAAAATCTGACATATGGCACTGCATCATGTCCTTTTTATCATAACATGTGCTCTTTTCCTCATCAGTTAAGAAGGGATGCATACCACTAACAATAAAATATACATTGCAGTATCGTAATACTAACATGTAAATCATCCATCATTCAATCAACAAACACTACAATATAAGTTTAAGCTCACCTGTTGTAATATAAATTCAAGTGTTTCTAAAACAAGTTCAAGATCAGGGGCAGACAACTCAAATGTTGACTGGAGTTTTTCTTCTTCTTCTTCACTGAATGTTCTCTCATCCTGGAATCATACAAAATGTCAATCACTTGTCATTAAGTGGAATCATTAGGTTTATTTTTCACTCCTTACTTGTCACGTAGCAATATATGCAGAAGCATGACTGGAATTGTGCAGATAAAAGTGTTCAGTTTCTGTCGTCTCTCATGAATTCCAAAAGGAAGGATGACAAGGATTACATTGATAGTGATCTCATTTAGGTATACACACAAACCTTCAAGTGCAGCTTCTGTAAGATGCGGTTTAAGAGCAATGGAAATTTCGATGAAGCCAAATCATTTATGATCCCAACTGCTTTCTTGATGCTGCAAGAGAGTGTGCAAATAATAAATAATATGAAATTCAAGTGAAAAACTGATCAACCTGAGAGAGGGTGGGGGTGGGGTGGTGGGGGGGGGTGATGATGATGATTTTAAGGGGGTGGGGGTGAGGTGTCACCCATTTTGTTCTGAGGAGGTAGGGGTCATCAATTTTGTACACATGTACTAGGGGGGTGGTAATTGATTTTGTACATGATATGCAGGGGGGTCACTTACTTTGTACATAAATACTAGGGGGTCATTCACATTGTATAAATGCTTCTCCATAAAAATCATCATCACCACCCCACCCACCAACCCCAATACATAAATTATGAACGGTCCCCGAGAGCCAAGCTTGTTCCAGGATATTTTTGATAATAGAATTGAGACTTTTGAAAACTGATGAACCTAATGTGGATAGCAAATTGAGAGGTGATCATAATATGCTCTGTGAGTGTAATGGGATAGGGATGTCATCTTAGACATCGATCATTTTAGGATTTAATAATACAGTGTTTTAGCGTGATTGTAACACAAATATAGATTCCCTCATATTACGGCACTGTCCCACTGATTACAATGTACAAAACATCTACTGCAATTTAAGAGACACGCCCCTTTTGCGTCCCTACCTCGCTGTTGCAGTGAACATAAGCGCCATGTTGAACAGCACGTGATCAAAACAACCAACGCGATGCACACAGTTAATAGATCCGATTTACCAATTTTTCCTTTTCAAACAAATATGTTATATACCTTGTTAAAAAGATATACTTAATTACAGTTCGAATTACATATAATTGAAATAAGTCGCCTTACATCTTCGAAAAATTGTAACATTTCATTTTGAATAACAAATGTGCATCGCGTGATCAAAGAACATGGCGGCGCCCACAGATTTCAACAATTGTTCTTCGCATCGCAAATGGTGATGACAATGTCACAGCTCCATATCGTCAGCTGACATTTCGTTTGTATGTCGCCCTGTAAGCTATAAAGGTTTTGGATACCGGTTTCGGCAGCAATTTATGGCAGTTGGCCATGTAAGCATGTTTTGTTTTTTCTCAACTCGATCACGAATCACATCAATGTCACTGTGTTGTAGACGTCCCCAGTGAGCTCCTCATACTTGTCATACAGGGAGTCAGAAATGACTCAGCATTAGTGATGTGCTGTCATAATTTGGAAATCACAAGCTTCAAATGAGAGTTTTTTTATCCAAAGTTTTCTAGCAAACATTTTTTTGTGCTTCTGCACTAATGCAAAAACATCGAGACGAAAATGAGCCCTAAAAAATAGTTTTCGTTCATGACAGCACCCATCCACCGTATGTCCACCGGTCGTCTGCATTTGTAACTGCTAACGCTAAAAGGTCATGATCCCAGTAGGTGGGGTGTGGCCCGGGAAAAATAACTATGGAAGCACATTTCAGACACAATCCTTATAACTTTACAACAAAATTTTCATGAAAAGTTGCCAAGTAAAAGCAATTATGACGACTTTGTAAGATGAAATTAAATAGTTATAGTTAATGAATTACGAAACTATGCTTGTGTTTGTTCAGTAAATGTCTCCAAAGTGATGAAGAATGTTTTTGTAACTTTTATTCAAGGTTACAGGAACATTTACTTGTTTAAAAGCGTTTTGTTTATTAAGACATACAAAAGTAGACAAATTCTGAATATTTCTTGACAAAAACTTTCTTATCAGCATTGTGAGACATGAACTTCAATGTTACATCGTTATCAGCTGTTGGCGTAAACTATTCGCCATACTGTTTGTCCGGATATTAGCCATCATGAATATTGATGACGTAGCGCACAACTGACCTTGATACTGTTGTGTGCATGATGGCTTCGTCACGCTACGATAGCGAAGTGTCAAAGGCTGAAACTTATGTTTTTATAAACATTTATATTGATAAAGGTTTGTATAATTGTTGATTTTCACGTGCCTTGTTAATTCCACATACCGCACCGAAACGTGTTAGGTGCGCAAATACTGATAACACGAGGTTACATGTCAATGCACTGCAAAATTGATACCAATAAGCCATTTTTTGGGGTGTTCCTGATCTGTTAAACAATGTGGGCATCACCTTCTTTAATCACATCCTCAGCACTGACACGACCAACCAATTAGTATGTCTCCATATGAAACTAAATCAGCACTTGTGGTTTGGTATTAAAGGTCACCTAAACCCTAGGGGTACAAATACATAAATCACTAACTGGCATCGTTATAAAATGAAACTCCGTCATTAAAACTACTCATTTCGACCTTTAATTGACTTAAATCGACCTTTTTTGACAACAGTGCACAATTCTCACCCATGAGAGCGAAATTTCAACCAATCAGAGCCGATGGCGTCTGTGACGTCATATGAGGAATAGCTTTGAGGGCGATGCAGAATTCATCTACATTTTAGGGGTTAAATTATCTTGTTTACAGGCTTGTATAAACCTGAAACCGTGACAATTGTTGTGGAAAATGAAAGCTATATGTTCTCACAATCTACTGTCATTTAATTTTGTCTCCTGCTTTGCCTAGTTTCCGAGTTACAACTTGTTTTCATAGACGATTCTGTCAAAATCGATTGGTGTCGTCAACTAAGGCCCTATTTGTATAATGACTGATCCAAATTGATCCCATTTCTGTGTTTTTTTCCTCGATATTTAATCATGTCATGTAAAAATCTGTTTGTATTCTCAAAACAGTGTCGGCCCATAAGTTTTCACATGCAATACAGCAATTAATACTCCCTTGTTGTTATTTGTCATCATTCACTTGATGGTCAGTTAATGAATTTATAACAGGTATAATTAGTGGTAACACACTTAGATTACCCGACAAAGGTTCCCATTTGGCATTTCTTGTGTCTGGAGTAAATATTCAACATTATAAACATCGATCAAAGGATTAACCGATAACACGCTGATTGATTAATTACTTTTATCTTAAACAGCGGAATTATCAAAAGGTAGTGTTTATGTATGTAGATTTACTAATCTATACTGAATACACTCTGTCGTGTCGGTGTCATGCGTAAAAACAACGTCCTTCTTTCAAAGGATTAACCGGCAATAGATTGATTGATTGCCCATTATTGGCTAACTAAATTACTGTTTTAAAGAAAGGCGGACATTATGCAATTAGTTGCCAGGTGTGCTATCTTGGGTGACCAATGAGACTATACACCAATACCTGAAAAGATTTATCACTTTTCAGATATTAAACTGTTAAAAGACACATCATTTGGAACAGTTTTGAGGATATTGATGGATACATTCCTCGAACAAGGTAATGGCCTGATATTGTTCCTATAACTTTAATCTGTTTTAATTTTTAATATTTGCATTTTGTTTTATTCATTTGTCGTAGCATTCAACAGAATCATTGTTTTAGCCGTGAAGTGTAATGAGACAGACAACATGCACTAGAATTATGTGTGCGAATTATGATTCACATTGGAAAACTATAAAATGTCTAGATATTACAGTTCTGTTATAAATTAACTATAAGTATCAGCAGATCGTCTGCTTTTTATTTAGTTTCAAAATGCATACAAGTATGATAATAAACTAATTAGGATTATAAGACCAAATATAAAGACGCACATTGACTAGTATCTACATACTGGTGAGTGGACATTAACCATGGGAATGTAGCAAGAAATTTATCGGCGCGAGTATTGTGACTTCGACCCCCACCTGCGCTTCCGTGGAAGAAATCGTTATGTTATAAGTTGTGTCATGCAAAATCCGTTTGGTTATGATTCCATTACATATTTAACTACGGTAGAAAGTAGTCTTGATTTTCTAACTTGATGAAAACAAACTATAATCTCATTAATTCTAACAGATTTTTTATTTTTAAAATGGCGAACCCATGTCGGAACATCCGCCAGTCTGAGGATAAATGGTATTTAGGTTTGTTTTCTGACGAGTTAAATCAAAACTACTTTCTACTTGTAGTAAAATATGTATTTTATTGATGGCCAATAGGAGTTTGCATGACATAGCATTATAACATAACAATTTCTCGTGGCGAGAGGTGGTGTCAATATAATACTACCTACAATATTATTGTTACTTCGACAACAACCTCATTTCGAGGAAAAATCGTTATGTTACAAGTTGTGCCATAGAAAATCTTTATGGTCATCAATCATATGCATATTTTACTACAACTAGTAAGTAGTTTTGATTCTTTAACTTCCGTGGAAGCGATCTGAACACACAAGTAAGATATCGTTTCAGGCTTCCACAACGCCAAGCCGCACTCACAAACATAACCCATTTAGCACCTAACTGCGGGGAGTCCTGTGGAAATCTGTGCATGGGGACACCATCGCCCGACCCTAGGAGCAATTGGCGACAAAGCAAAGCGATTCGGCATGTAAAATTAGGTTGATGTCGAGAAATCATCAAAATGATGAGCGTGCTACACATTTTCTATACAAATAACTGAAAATCGTTCCTCATATGGCGTCACTGCAGTGCTCTGGCGACAGAGTTACGTAACCTGTCTGTGGTTTCGACATGGCTTAGAGGGAAGCAGGCTTACTTTTTGGCCACTTTTAATCAAACCGGTATTAATTAACCACAAGTTTTTAAAGAATAAATTTGATGTTCCTCATAAGACTAACCACAAATCTTTCATATGTAATGGTTAAACGAGTAACAAAAACAAAGTTTAGTGGTTCTTTAAGAAAACTGCTGGTATTGTCTAGCAGTGTACAAACTACAATGATGCACTCAGCACAAAACAAATTATTCATCATTTAAAGTTGTATTTTATTTATTTACAGGAACTGAAGTATAAATGAAACATTAGCCTAATCATCTGATCAAAACTGTATCACCATGCCATGGGGACAAGTTGTCATTGGCCCTCCAGGGTCTGGGAAAACAACATATTGTACTGGCATGTCAGAATTTCTAACTGGTCTTGGCAGAGAGGTTGCAGTGGTAAATCTGGATCCAGCTAATGACACACTGCCTTACAAATGTGCTGTGGACATATCTGATCTGATCACACTGAGTGATGTCATGGACAACTTGAAGCTCGGACCAAATGGAGGACTGATTTACTGCATGGAATATCTGGAAAAGAATTTTGATTGGTTGAAAGAACAACTGGAGAAGGTCAAGGTGAATTACATATTGTTTGATTTCCCAGGTCAAGTGGAACTGTATACACATCACAACTCTGTCCGTAATGTGTTGGCGGAACTACAGAAGTGCAGCTACAACTTAGTAGCTGTGCATCTTGTGGACTCACACTACTGCAACGAAGCAGGCAAATTTGTGTCAGTGTTGCTCACGTCGCTGTCAACAATGCTGCAGATGGAGTTGCCGCATGTCAATGTGTTATCAAAGGCAGACTTGATAGAGAAGTATGGAAAGTTGGCATTCAACCTTGACTTCTACACAGAGGTGCTTGATCTCAACTATCTACTGGACCATCTGCAGGTGAGGGATAAGGGAGGTAATCATGTGTGACTGATTCAAGTTTGCAGTCATTATAGATCTAATGGAGTTGTTTTGGTCTTTCTATTTTTTTAAAAAAACATAAAACTATGTCTCTGCTTATTAAGAGATTTGTTTATGATCTTTTAGTTAAAAGGCTCAGTTAATAATCAGATTCCATATGTACACAGTCTGCTTAAATTAATTGTTTTCAGGGATTGAAATAGTGCTAAATCTGCTTGACATGGCACATTAAATTGTAATGGCACAGATGAAATATTTGAACCAGTGCTAAACTAATAAACAATACATACATCAATGACATGTCTTTGTCATCAACTTGGAATATTTAAATGTACTCTGGAACATGTTTTGTTGGACATGATTACTGAGGATGAAACTCCTTGTCTTCTATTCAGGATGACCCAGTGTTCCAGAAGTACAAGAAGTTAAACGAGGCCCTGATTGGTGTGATCCAGGACTACAGTCTGGTCTCCTTCGTCATGCTCAACATACAGGTACTGCTGCTCACCATAATACTCAATGGAGGACATCTTAAAGTTCAGATTTGAAATTTTGCTTTGATGAAAAATAGCCAAGATATGAGTTTGATAAACCAGAGGTGAGGTGAAATTGGGTTTAATGTCGTTCTTGAGAATATTTCGCTCATATGACGACGTGCATTCATGTGTATGTGTATGTGCGGCTGCTTGTACTAGCCCAGACTGAAGCTGGTTTTATAGTGCTAGCCCACTGAGATACCATGCCCCAGTGAAGCATGAATACCCCACTCACACACATTATACTGACTCCGAGCCGACCAGCCCTTGTTGTACCCATAAATGCCGAGCGGATCGAACCCGCGACCTTCCGCTCTCTGGGCAGACGCTCTTACCACTACACCAAGGAGGCGGTCTTGATAAACCAGATATACTGATAGAAGGAAACTAATGGATCAGTGTGTGAGGAAAGTGTTTTTGGCCATGAGCTGGTGTGAGTAACTGTGTTGGTTGGTTGGCATTTAGCAATGTTCAAGTTGTATAATGACTGTCTCTAAATAATGAAGTCTTCTCCAGACGATCCATTGATTGACATCATGATCAACAATCTGTGCAATTGGGATACAATGACAAGTCATGTGCTAAAGGGTCTTCAGTTTCACCATGTTTGATAGGTCTGTCATGTTTTTATGCATTAAGATCAACCATTATTGTTAGTCTGTCACATTATCTGGAATTATATGATTTATTACAAAATATGTAACCTCTGCTAAAAATGTTCACATTTAAATGTAATCAACCAGAATGGATGATTTCCTTGGTTAGAAATCCCGATAAAATCTTCTATATTGGATGAAGTCTGCAGACACGACATGGAACACCAATGGAAAGATATCAATATACCAAGTACAGGCTGAAAATGATGAACTTCTTTTCTGCTGTGTGATATGATGTATTTCTTAAAGAAAGATCCCTCTTAGCAGTTCCCTCACTTTCTCATATGGAAGAGTCAACTTACAGGATGAGATCTGCAGACTCACTGACTCGGTTGATGCAAGTCATTGTATTCTAGTTGTACAGATCAATACACATGATGTCAGTCACTGGATTGTTTGGTCCAGACTTTATTATACAGACTGAAATGTTGCTGATTGTGGCATGAAACAATAAACTTGCAGGAGTACTAAGTCAGTACCAATTGTTTGATCAGCATTCTAGAAGTTGGTTTGTCAGTTTTAGCTTGAAAACGGTGTAGGAATCTTCACCAAAATGTTCCCTTATGCAATAAACAAGAAGTTGTTATCCATAAATTTGTATGATTTATTATTGAAATTAGTACCAGTTTCCCCACCAGACGTTGAAGCATGTTTCTATTTGACCAGGACAAGGAGAGCATGCTGCGTGTGATGAAGTCTGTGGACAAGGCTAATGGCTATGTGTTCGGGGACACAGAGGAGAGGAGCATCCAGTCTCTGCTGTCGTGTGCGGTTGGGGCCGAGTTTGAATACGACAAGATCAAGGATGTTAGGGAAAAGTACATGGACACTGATGCCGTTACAGAAGATCAAGATGACTTTCCATGATGATAGAACTAGTTAATGACTATGTTGTTGTACACAGGTGGACCTAGGATTTGTTAAAAATGTAACTTGTTAACTTTAGTATGCGTGTGTCAAGTTTGTTCAAAGTTCCCTCTCTCTCCTCCCCTTAAAAATTCCTGGATCCGCCAATGATCTGAGTATGATTTTGGTACTCTTGGCCTTTTACAAATTTCCACCTATTATCAGGCTGTTTTCCTACTTCATTCAGTTCTTGAACAGCTGGTGTCATCCATGGATGATCTCATTTATATTGATGTGAATGTAGATCTATAACTATAAGGACGTGTTTCTCTTCTGGAGTATCCTTGTACTAGGATAAGGGAGGGTATGAATTAAATTGTACATTAATGGTCTTGATTTGTATGTCATTGTGGTTGACATGTGAATGGGAAAGTGTGTCAGCCATGGGCTCTAATTCTGAAGCCATTCTCCTATTGACCTAATAGGTTGGTCCAGTTTGGCACAGTTTAATTCTTATTTTTGAGAACTTTTATATGAACAATTTATATATGTAATAAATATTTCAAAACTCTTTTGTGAATTTGTTTCTTTTTTTTATTTGATCAAGTGGCAACATGAAGTGTGACAAAACAACACACAGTTCAACAACACCAATTAGGTAACCTTGGTAACAAGTTGGAATACTTACAACTTTTCAGATTGTAAAAAAGTGCAAATATGAAACCATTCTGTACTATTCTTTGTGAAGAATGTACAAGAATATACACTGATGTATTACAATCATAATAAAGTAGAGTTTTACAACGTTAAACATTTTCTGAACAACAAAGAAGTCATGATATTAAAATATACTATCCAAATAAACCAGGGAATATTTTGTTGTTCGGTGTGACTTGAACAAATATCAGTGTCTGGCAAGGAAAGTAAGTGATTTATGAGGCAACAATATTTCTGAAGAAATCCTGCTCCATAACACAACGCTGATGGCCATGAAGCATGTAACACCGTAAAGCACTGTGAGGGGTGGTATACCACATTTACCAGCGTCTCAGACACAGATGTGAGCAGGGACGGTGGGGTAGCCTTTTGTTAAAAGCATTTGCTGGTCACGTGGAAGACCCGGGTTAGATTTCCCACATGGGTTCAATGTATGAAGCTCATTTCTGGTGTCCTCCAGAGTGCTGGAATATTGCTATATGCAGCATAAAACTATACTCACTCATTTGTAAGCAGATACACATTATTTTTTGGGAATCCAACACTGAAAGACACATTATTTAACACATTTAATTATTAGGGAAGTATCAGTATTGTTCATACAACGTTCTGAACACCCTGAGGTTGGGTTGGAGGTGGGCACATGACAGAAGGTCCACACAATGCAAAGACAACGTTGATGATGGACGCCACTCTCGACGGCGAAGGCCAAAAATATCAGCCCAGGACATATTCAGAACCATGACATGAGGAAATCGGTTGCCAACTGGCACTCAGATAAGGGACCATTTGGAACAGGCAACGGGTGGAGGGGTACATGCCGAGAGTGCGCGATATCGTCATCACAGATGGCACCACATCCTCCTGTCATCCCATAAGGTACTGCACGTCATTTGAATATCAAGCACCAGTGGTGTAGGAGCGTTAACACTGTAATAACACTGGGCTAAAGTCGTTGTTTTCTAACGTGACGAATCGAGTTTTGAGACGTCCTAATAAACGTTTTATGAAGGTAAACGCCATACAGCTTACCATTTTGTGTGGATCCATAATGGTATGTTTGGTATCACAATTACTGGCCACTTTGCCGTCCCAGTTACAGGTCTATACCATCGGGACATCACTGCACCACTTGCTGGCCAAAGTTCCATCTTTGATCATGATAATGCACGTGTTCACCATACCAGGATTGTGACCCAACTCTTCCAACGGCAAAACATCCATGCCACGACAAGCACTCAGTCCTGACCTTTATTTGGCTGACACATTTGGGGCGTACAGATGTGTACGTCAACATCAAAATCTATCCCTAATCTCAGTGAACTCGGTGCTGCTCTTACTGATGAGTGTAAAACATGAGTCAAGATGGCATTGATCGACTGATCAGTAGCATGTCTTTAAGATCTCGTGCTTGTCTTGCCAATAGAAGTTTGTTAATTGGTGTCAGTGACGTTGACTGCAGAATGCTAATTATGAATTTAACCCCCGACCTGTTATAGTGATGATCTAATCACAACAACCATTAGAACACATTGGATCTGATCGCCTATCCCCAGCAGATATGATCATGTCTTCTCCATTTGCTAATACCATACGGATCAGGAAATACGTCTTGATAATTCCTAATAACCCTTATTATATATGCATAAATGTAACGAACCGCTGACTACAAATATTACACATATGTAAATGACAGATTGAAAATAACGTGGTAGTTTTTTCCGAAACCAAAGGATAAATCACAGTGATTACAGCACATGACATAAAATATTCCTTGATGATGTTGTTGGTAAGTATCTCTAAATGCACAGAAATGTCAACCTCATTCCACGTAATTAAGGCTTCTAACATAATCACAGATATATTACACGTCTTCCCAGTGAATATATTTTAATGTAAGATATATCATAATACTACTCAAAAGAACACCCCTCAGTTACCATAGTAATTCTTTCATGCCAATGCAATAAATACACCTGATGTTCTCATGTAGCTGTAGTTAATCATGTTAAGTCAGGAATATACAGTCTTCTTTAACTTCACGCGAGTAGTATACATGCAGGTCAGCCACAACACAGACACTTGAGGGCCTGACGGATCTCTCTACAGCAGAGCCAGCAGACTGGGACCAGGAAGGACTTGGCAAGGATAAGCCACATTGCCACCTGACTAACCACGTGCAGCTGGCTGCACTTCCGGTGGGTAGGGCAGGGGTAGGCGATGGTGGCGAACTCCAGGACGAAGTATGGCGTGTACAAGGCAATAGTGATGAAGATGGACGAAATGGCGTCAATAGGTACCTGGATGTGCTCACCATAGAACAAGAGATTCCGGGACAGGTATCCTGGAAGATGGACGTACACCACCAGAATGGCTGATGCTAAAATACATAACAGTTGTGGAAAGTAACTGAAAATTACGTACAGGTTGGCCGATGTTTCATCACTCACTACCCTCGTACATGCAAGCACAAATGATGAGTTACGGGGTGATGTTGCGCCAAAGTACAGCGGTACCAGTGTAATAATCGACAGTAGCCAGATAACGAATCCCAGAACCATCGGCATGATGACCTCAGCTTTGTTGGGAGCGTAGAGATGATGTGACGTTATTCTGTGGATGTAGAAGACGTTGACGAGGAAGAGGCCGAGACAGGTGACTGACGGAACCAGGGACGTCCGGAACAGCACCAGCGTGTTGTAGGTATGGCAGGAGAAGATCCACTCCTGTCTGATGGAGACGTCCAGAAGAAGCGGACACACTAGAACCCCCATGAGGAGGTCTCCCACAGCAACATTCAGGATGAGGAGGTGTTTTGTGGACTGCCTGAGGACAGGGGAGGTGGTGATGAGGAGTATCAACAGCACGTTGAAAGTAATAATGAGCAAGGTGAACAGCAAGAGAAGTCCTTGACCTTCATGCCTCTCAGTGCCCCCCCAACAGCATCTGCAACCACAAAATTCATATTACGCCAGATTTTTCTTAAAACCCGGTTCATTTACCTTCTAAAACAAATGTGAAACAAAGCTAGAAAAATAAACACATTATTTAAAATACTGATAACATACCGTTTTAAAAGTACTTTTCTTACAAACTTCAAAACATGAGATATAACAGATCGCGACAGTAAATGACCAACCGAGATTAAATTTAATTTATTTCTCTAACCTTCATATTTGTGGACTTCAGTTTTGGATTTAAAAATGTGTAAATGGAGTCACCCACACTTTTTCTGTGCGGGGTGCGGGAATGAACCTAGATAGCTATTTAGCAATGTTAGGGCGGTGGGGTAGCCTAGTGGTCAAAGCGTTGGCTCGTCACGCCGAAGACCCGGGTTCGAATCCCCACATGGGTAAAATGTGTGAAGCCCATTTCTGGTGTCCCCCGCCGTGATGTTGCTGGAATATTGCTAAAAGCAAAAACTCAGTCAGTCAGCAATGTTACGTATTCATTCGCAATGTTACTATTTCATTGTTGTTGTTGTTTTTAAATGACTGATTTCATGAATAATATACTATAAAACGATGACCGACCATACACTTTGGCATCTGATGATGTTCTGTCGATGGTGTAATTTGCGTTTTATCACCCGTAGCCTCGTAACCCGAATCCAGCCCTCTCACCGTTCGAATACCACGTGAGGAATTGTGAGCACATTTATGCCTCTACCGCTTGTATTACAAAGGGCGACAGTTCCCACAAACACATACCAAGTCTGCCAACTATGGCAATCAGTGCCAAGAATTCTGGAGAATGCCATCTCCACTGTATGGGGTTGACGATCCACGTCAACGCTGATGAATGTTACCGTATGTTACAACGCCTGATCCCTGTCAGGGGTGCTTGATCCCAGTATTGCTCTCCATGTTGTTGACAATTGGATGTTATCCAAATATTATCAACGAAGATTGTTGACCCCGAATTATGGCTTATTGTTATTTTGACGTGTGTGTTTTGAACTTTACGAATATAAAGTTTTGAAACTTACGCGTATGAAGGATTACACATTCTTTGATTCTTTCAAACGCTTCATACGTAAGTTTCATAATTCTAGGTTTTGATTTACTACTTTCTGTTAATAAATATATCTTAATGAAATGTATTAATAGATAAGAACGCGTTACCGTTATAAAATCTGACTTTATTGGTCCGAGAGTTCGTGAAACATGACGTAGACACCCAGAGTTGCATCTTGGCCCAGGTTTATGATCTTGGCACAAGACTCGTGCCCGTGGGTTAACACAGTGGGAAAGGTAACCTACATCTCCCGGGTACGCATTCCTCGTCAACATACACCTGAGCCATTAGACGGGGACCATTAGTCTCTCTGACATTTCCTGAACCATATTATATACCTTCCGACAAGTCCACACTGTCAGGATACAGTTATCAAGTCTATATTTTCCACAGGTTTTGAATCTTCGCTCTCAGTGGACCTCCTTTTCAGTTTAATTTCAGTGTATTTTTTTAAAATAAAAATTATATATTTTCAGACGCTTAGCGTTTGTCTACGCTTGAGTCATTCCGCATTCAACGTTCACCACGTCCAAAATCTAAATGCCGCTCTAACTAGAAATAACCTATAACTTCAAAGCACAGTTTTAAGATCTACATCGGAAGTGGAAGACTGATTCAATTAACATGTATCAGTATTCAGCAGCTTCTAGAGGTTAGATCTTCCTTCTAACTGTTATAGGAGCGGTGGGGTAGCCTGGTTAAAGACCCGGGTTCGATTCCTCACATGGGTACATTGTGTGAAGCCTATTTTGGTGTCCCCTGACGTGATCTTGTGGGGAAATTGCTACAAGCGGAAAAAAACATACTCACTCACTCACTCTAATTGTTATAGAGGCGGTGGGATAGCCTAGTGGATCGATTCCCCACATGGGTACAATGTGTGAAGCCCATTCCTGGTGTCCCCGCCGTGCTGTTGCTGGAATATTGCTAAAAGCGGCATCAAACCATACTCACTCACTCTAATTGTTATAGAGGCGGTAGGGTTGCCAAGTAGATAAAGACCCGGGTTCGATTCCTCACATGGGTACAATGTGTGCAGCCTATTTTTGGTGTTCCCTGACGCTTGACGTGATGTTGCTGGAATATTGCTAAAAGCGGCGTAAAACCGTTCTAATTGCTATATAACCTTTACCAAGAATTTTGATTTTGCCTTGAAGTTAGACAGTGCTGTATTTCGAGCTTTGAAGATGCTGTGTTTCCTTTACAGCATGGCGTGTCAGATAGAGGTTGGAGAAGAGCCGAAAAATTCGCATGTTTTTGACACACGAATACGGCAAAATATGGGTGACGAGATCTCCCAGATTTACACACAGGAATTTGAACCAATGCGCCAGTGTAGATAGGGGACGCATATCCTGCTACAGCGTCTGTAAATACCTCTGAGCCACTGTTCCATGATGCATACAGTGTTGTGTAACAGGAAGTGACTACACTATTGATAGCGGTCATTGTCCGCTCGAGACAAACGCACGTGCATATTATACACTGCCAAGTAGATCTTGGAAGGATTCCCTGGCCACTCAAAAAACGCAGTTATCTCTTTCGACAGTGCTTCCATACACAGTGAAAACATTGGTATCTATGTGTTTTTGAGTATCTCATAGACACTTGCGACTGTCTCAAAACAGCTGATATGTCAGTCTGTGACGTGTTTAATTATTTAGTGCAGTTCTGGTCGTACTCGTGGAAAGCGATATTTCAGCTGGTTTTTAGCGTTGATGCGTTCACTAGCCCAGAATACGACTGCTTTCTGTTGACAGTCGCAGTGTTTGGATAGACCATATTTGCTAGTTTTAACAATATCAATACGTATAAGCAACATTAATATGAGCAAAGAGGCGACAAACGGGATCGGGTGGTCAGATTCGCTAACTTGGTTGACACATGTCAACTGGGACTCCCTGGGACTCATACTCTTAATTTTCAGGGGTCCTGGACTACAAAATGGGGGTCCCAGACACTTAAATACTATTATTAATACTATGTTTTAATATGAGGTGAGTGAGTGATTTTAGTTTTACGCCGCACTCAGCAATATTCCAGCTATATGGCGGCGGTCTGTAAATAATCGAGTCTGGACCAGACAATCCAGTGATCAACACCATGAGCATCGATCTGCGCAATTGGGAACCGATGACATGTGTCAACCAAGTCAGCGAGCCTGACCACCCGATCCCGTTAGTCGCCTCTTATGACAAGCATGGGTTACTGAAGATCAATATTCTAACCCGGACCTTCACGGGTCTGTTTTAATATGACAACGTATGGTATGGATTTACAACTTCTTTAATATTTACAACACGATGTTTCTGGGCTACTTCTTGCCCCTTCATCTAAATCCATACCATACCAGAACAGAATAGACCTTCAGAACCCCGTGACATCAGCAGGAACAGACTAAACATATAATATGGGGGATAAAGCGTGGAATGGATCAGTGCTCATGCTATCAACCGCTGACCATATTGTCGACTAATTATATCGATGTGTAACGCTGCATTCAGCAATATTCCAGCTGCATGACGACAATCAGTAAATAATCATGAAAACATGTGCATTGCCATTGGTCTACATAACTGGGTAGGTCACGTCCATCGAGATGACGAATTAGTGATACTGAGCTCTTCCCGTTCAGCTTTATAATCAGTTCGCAGTGTGTTTATAATAGTGAAGTTTCCATGTTTTCATGGAACGTATAATACCGAGTATTTACTCTTCATCCCATTTTATTTGTACAATGTTACCCGTGAAGATCGGGAATTGGTCTTCAGTAACCCATGCTTGTCGCAGTAGTCGACTAATGGGATAAGGTGGTCAGGCTCGCTGACTTGGTTGACATGTCATCGTTTCCCAACTTCGTAGATCGATGCTAATGCTGTTAATCACTGGATTGTCTGGTACAGACTCAATTATTTACATACCGCCGCCATATAGCTGGAATAGTGCGGCGTTAAACAAAAACCCAAATATATGTTGAATGTTTATATATCCCGCGAGCTTTGAATTATTCTCCAGAAACACATGTAAGTCAAAAGAGACGACTCATGGAAACGGGTGAGGAGTGTCGGTGACTTGATCTATGCATTTTATCAATTCCCAATTGATTAGATCAATGCTCATGATGTCACTGGCCCAAGTCCATTATTTGCAGACCGACAGCTGAATATTGTTGAGTGCGGCGTTAAAATGTGTATAATGTTATTCATCAATTTTCCAACATATGTTGCTATTTGTACATCCTTACCTGAGAGGATGCACTGTACAGTATATATTCTGATACTGTTTCCGGAAGGAAAATAGGTGAGTCAGCGTTCTGTTTTACTGTAGAAATAGTGTCCACCTACCTGTTGGTACTGAGGGCCCCCTGGGTGAGACACAAACATATCTAGGTGAGCCGGAGACAACATGTCGGTGCTTCTCTACAGCCGCCAGTCAAGGAGTATCTGACTGAAGTAAGCGATGGTGTCGTGACGCGACACCAGCCGTCTGTGAGAGCGGGGACAGCAGTGTGGCAGCCAGCCGGAAGCAGCGCTCTGCCATCGTAGAAATGCCTGAGAGTTGTCTGGTTTCTTCCTTTGTTATTGCAGGAATAACCCAACAATGCAAATAAAACAAATGGACACATGAACATATTGCAGAAAATGGTTACAGAGCCTACAGTAGCCTACACGGTCTTGATGTCAAAGGGTGGTCTTGTGGTGAAAGTGTTTGCTCGTAACATCTCCCGGGTTCGATTCCCACATGGTTGCAGTATGTGGGGAACACGTACTCTTCAAATGTTCACTTTCATCAGAACGCTTAACTAGTCCTGTATTTCTGAACGTTTCTAGAACACCGTCCGGGTACTGACAACACGAGTACGTGAGTGAGCCAGATTATACGCCGCTTTTAGCAATATTCCAGCAATATCGCGGCGTGGTACTCCAGAAATAGGCTTCACACACTGTACCCATGTGGGGAATCGAACCCTGGTCTTTCGAGCGACGAGCGGACGCTTTAACCACTACGCTATACCACTGATCAGCATAATATGACTTATTTCCTTCAATGTACCCCAGTATTTATGGTTTGATGTCGGGCGTCAGGCAGGCCTGTTGTGGAGACTGAGATATGTTTTCTTCTTCTCAAATTCAACGCATGTCTATTTAACCCAACTACCCAGTTATATTACTACAACCTCAGGCACTACACCTCCACCTTACTGGGGCGGCTGGGTAGCCTAGTGGTTAAAGCGTTAGCTTGTCACCCCGAAGACTTCAGTCATCATACCCCCATCTTCCTACAGCCTTAGTCACCATACCCCCATCTTACTACAGCCTCACTCACCATACCCCCACCTTACTACAGCCTCAGTCACCATACCCCCTTCTTACTACAGCCTCAGTCATCATACCCATACCTTACTAAAGCCTCAGTCATCATACCCCCACCTTACTACAGCCTCAGTCATCATACCACAACGTTACTTCAGCCTCACTCATAATACTCCCACCTTACTACAGCCTCAGTCATCATACCCCCATCTTACTACAACCTCAGTCATCATACCCCACCTTACTACAGCCTCAGTCATCATACCACCACCTTACTAAAGCCTCAGTCACCATACCCCACCTTACTTCAGCCTCACTCATGATACTCCCACCTTACTACAGCCTCAGTCATCATACCCCCACCTTACTACAGCATCAGTCATCATACCCCCACCTTAGTACAGCCTCAGTCGCCATACCCCCACCTTACTACAGCCTCAGTCATCATACCCCCACCTTACTACAGCCTCAGCATTACTACAGCCTCAGTCATCATACCCCCACCTTAGTACAGCCTCAGTCATCATACCCCACCTTACTACAGCCTCAGTCATCATACCCCCCACCTTACCAGTCACATACAGCCTCAGTCATCATACCCCACCTTACTACAGCCTCAGTCATCATACATACCACACTTTACTACAGCCTCAGTCATCATACCCCACCTTACTACAGCCTCAGTCATCATACCCCCACCTTACTACAGCCTCAGTCATCATACCCCACCTTACTACAGCCTCAGTCATCATACCCCCACCTAACTACAGCGTCAGTCATCATACCCCACCTTACTACAGCCTCAGTCATCATACCCCACCTTACTACAGCCTCAGTCATCATACCATACACCTTACTACAGCCTCAGTCATCATACCATACACCTTACTACAGCCTCAGTCACCATACCCTCATTTTACCGCCGTGATATTGCTGGAGTATTGCTAAAAGCGGCGTAAAACTAAACTTCACCTATCTTACTACAGCTAAAGGCCCAGTTGCTTTCGGCCGCTTGTGTAACTGTCACCGTCATCATGTATTCACTGTCAGTGTCCTCGAGACGTCAGTTTCCGAAGTGTGTGTAAGTCGCCCCATTCAACTTTGTTATGCCTTTACTGTCCCTGTCTTAATCCTCAGCCTGTCTTGGGTCTTGAATGGCCTCATCCGTGGAAGTAAGTGAACTAAACGTTCGTAAAATCACACAACCCATGCCCGATGCTCGAACGGCACTATTCGAAAGTGTAGAATTGGGACCTCACGGAGCACCCCTCCCTTTCATGTACATGTATATAAGAATGGATTATTGCGTGGTTATTGTAACTGGGGGGCGTCTAGTTTGCCTCACAAAGTCTCGGTTTCGCTGCCGTAATACACACTATGTCTATATATAGCGGCGTAAAACAGCATGCGGCCAAACACTGTTGGACACCATGGGTATATATCTATTAATAACCTACTACAGTAGCTACGAGGAAGTACGGAATATCCGTTCGGTGTCAAGATCCGAGTCTTCCGTACTGTATCTTACCCACCGTCATATCACTGAGGAACTAGCTGTTAATCATTAGTTTCCTGGTCTCAGTATATTGTCATCTATGACGTTCCTATAGGTATCTTCGCAAACAGTGGAACAACTGATATAGACTGGCGAGTCTTTCTTTTAGTTAAAGGTGCTCTTAACGTTGAATCCGCTGAGCAGAATGCATAACTCCTGTGTTGGACTATTTGTAGGCCAGTTAACCGCATAGAGTGTATCGGGGTTGTGTTGACCAGTTAACCCCACGGGTTGCATAGGGACTGTGGTGTCCTCCGCCGTGATATTGCTGGAATATTGCTATAAGCAGCGAAAAACTAAACTCACTCACGTATAGGGACTGTGTTGAACTATATGTTGGCTAGTTAACCCAGCAGGGTGTATCGGGACTGTGTTGGACTATATGTTGGCGAGTTGACCCAGCAGGGTGTATCGGGACTGTGTCCGACTATATGTTGGCCAGTTAACCCAGCAGGTTGTATCGGGACTGTGTTGGACTATATGTTGGCGAGTTGACCCAGCAGGGTGTATCGGGACTGTGTTGGACTATATGTTGGCCAGTTGACCCAGCAGGGTGTATCGGGACTGTGTTGGACTATATGTTGGCCAGTTAACCCAGCAGGTTGTATCGGGACTGTGTTGGACTATATGTTGGCCAGTTGACCCAGCAGGGATCTGTGTTGGACTATATGTTGGCCAGTTGACCCAGCAGGTTGTATCGGGACTGTGTTGGACTATATGTTGGCCAGTTGACCCAGCAGGTTGTATCGGGACTGTGTTGGACTATATGTTGGCCAGTTGACCCAGCAGGGTGTATCGGGACTGTGTTGGACTATATGTTGGCCAGTTGACCCAGCAGGGTGTATCGGGTGTATCGAAATACTTTTTCTTACTCGTATAAAGTACAATTAACTGCCAATTTGAATAATGACCCTCTAAATTCTTTCAAATATCAAAAACGCATAGCCGATTTTGCTCCTTCTCAGAAAACATCGAAAATAATGCTACAATATTCCCTAATTTCGCAGTTTCTTGGTAAAACTTGACAACATATGAAATATTTGATAAATAAGCTTTCAAAATGTGTATAATATTCCGCACATAGAGTGTTCGTTTCTTTACACGAGAGTTAAACGTACCCTCACCCTCACCCTCACTGTACAAGTTGATAGCCGCTAATACAGTGGTTGATAGCGGTTGGTAGCGGTTGGTTGATAGCGCTTTCAAAATAAATCACTGTAAGGTTTCTAGTTAGTTCATGTTATCATTTCTAAGTAATTGAAGTTCTTAATTAAATATTTTGCTTCATTTTCTTAAGGTACTGCTGAATTCAACACAGACCCACAATATGAACACTTCAATTTGCTATTATTGTGATTTTCGGAGAAATCCTTTCAACATTATCATTGACCACTGTATTATCAACCACCCATCCAGTGAATTCAAATTCAAATTCCAATATCATGACGACACAACCCAAAAACCTTATCTAGAAAAAAATAATTCAAAATTATACCAGAAGTATTAAAATCTGAAGGAAAGTACATTGTACTTTGTAATGACAACAAAATAGAAATCATCAAGCATATGAGGATTAATTGTAGAATCATGTGTCATGATGTTTAATTTGCATAACTACCGGAAATGTCTGTCTTGCCACGCATGCGTCCTCTCCTTTCCGTCCCGCCTGCCATGCTTGTGCGGCGTATATCATAACCTTCATCTTTTAAGTTTTAGTATAATCAACTTTGGACTTATGCCATCGAAACGTAAGTGTTCCACTTGTAAAGAAGCTTTATCTGGACACGACGGGCCTTCCGGACGCTTCTGCAAACAGAATGAAGACAACCTTTACCTCGTAGACGAAAGTTCCTTTGCTGCACTGCAGCGGCAGGCTGGACGGGTGCGCGACCGAAGACACCGGCTCCGTGAAACGAGAACTTCAGGATAGTCTCCCTTTGCCTCAGGACGGGCAGAAATCTGCACTGGTCTCGGACTTAAATGAAACGATTCAGGCTTTAGAACGTCAAGACAGGGAGTTAGTGTCACAAATCTCAGCAGTGCGGCTGACTGGGAAAAAGCAGTCAGCAGTTCCCTTATCATCGTTGAGGAAGGACAGGACTGCCGTCAGCAGAGCGGACAGCAGAGCTCGTCAACTATTAGAATTAGACAGAAGTACTGATTTGTCCTTAATCAGGTTTCATATTCTATACTGAAACACAGGAAGTGATTAAGCTGTTTTCGATGTTGCTTGGCCACAAGAATATTATTCTGGGAGTGAAACACACATAATCCAATATGTTGAACTTTCATGCTACAAAGACAGTAGAGCTAACCACCTCATACAGTGCACGTTTTGTGTTGAGAAATTCCTGTGGGCAAATGTTTTGCGTTTCCATCAAGATGTACTGCATGAGATTGAAAGTGGTCGTGCCACATGGAGTGATAGTTTTGAACATATAAAGGCCAGGAGACTTTTGGACCCCTTACCTGCCTTCTACTGTGGCTCTTTGCAGCAAAAATGACAGGAGCACAAGAATGCTCTTGGGCATCTGGAACAACATATTTGCAGCCAATGCCGCACACGTCGCCGGGTTTCTGCGAATCATCCAGCTAAAGACTGCAAGCAGGTTAACACACCTTCTAACAGGAATGCTCAGGCCAATCAGTTCAGAAGAAACTCTGATCATCAATCATCAAGTAATGCTCAGATGGCATGACCTTTCAAGGACAACCCAATGTTTGCTCATAAATACTTCATTCAGTTACATGCTAAAATTTTCAACTCGGGACTTCTAAATTGCAAAGGCAAGCGGATACTTGTGGCCTCCAGTATTAATATAAACTTTCTCCGAAGAGAGCTTGTCAATTACAGGGATACCGAATTTTTAGATTTTATGACTTTTGGATGGCCAGTGGGCTACACGAAGTTGTCTCCTTCTTTACCAAAGGCTAGTCATCAGAATCATAGGTCAGCTATTAATTTCAAGGCACATACAGAAGATTTCATTGTGAAGGAACTTCACTATGGTGCCATTATGGCCCCTTTTGCCTCACAACCACTATGTTGTGAAATGATGTTGTCCCCTCTTATGTCAGTCCCTAAGAAAGACTCTCTTGAGAGACGAACAGTCATGGACTTGTCTTTTACTGGCAACACTTTTGTCAGAGATGGTATTCCTCAAGACAGTTTCCTAGGGGACCCTTTCAAACTACATTATCCATCCACTGATCATCTGATTCGCCTTATCAACAAGCATGGTGGAGGCTGCTTGCTATACAAGGTTGATATCAAACGGTGTTATCGTTGGATACCAGTAGACCCAGGAGATTATCACCTGCTAGGTTTCACATGGAACGGACAATTATATTTCGACACAAAGGTGCCCTTTGGAGTCCGGACAGGCGCTATGCAGCTCAGAGAACTACAAATGCCCTCATGTACATATTTGAACAAAGAGGTTATGAAGGAGTCAACTACATTGATGACATAACAAGCGCAGATACCACAAAAGCTGCGGAGGGTTTTAGAGTCTTGCAAAATCTCATCATTGACATGGGGATGCTGCCAGCAGTGGAAAAATGCTCCTTCCCAACCACTCAGTTGGCATTTTTGGGCAAGAAATTTGACACTATGGCTATGACACTAGCTATTCCTCCTGAAAAATTATAGGAAATCAAACAAGTGCTTCATAAGATGTTGTACAAGAAAACATGTACCAAACGGCAGTTACAGTCTCTGATTGGCAAGCTGGCTTACATATCAGACATAATCAGATCATCCAGGCTATTTATCGGTCGTCTCTTGGCTTTACTGCGTAGTGTGAAGAGTAACTTCCACCACATCAACATATCTCACGAGGCCAAGAAGGACATGCGATGGTTCTTAATATTCATGGAGGACTTCAATAGAGTATCAATATGCTGCTTTCAGACCAGGTACACACAAGAACCTGCACTGCCAGTTGAGAACCTATCTTCTTTTCTGTGGCGAAGTAAACTGTAAGGATTTTCCAACCACTGCTGAAGTTTTGAGTCGTTATGCATGCTTTCTAGCAGAGAACTTCAAGAGTGTTCAGTCAGTCAGAAACTACATTTCCGGAGTCAGGACCTGGTCTACCATCCTTGGCATAGACACTACAGATTTTTATGCTCCTAGTGTCAAACTCACACTAACCGGTCTGGAGAAAACGAGTACACACTTGGTCAATCAACAGTTACCTTTATGGCCTTGGCACTTGGAAGCCATGTTCCATCATATTGATCCTCACAACAATGAAGACTTATCCTTATGGGCGATGATTTTACTTCGATATTTTGCTATGCACAGAAAATCACAGTTCATTAGCTCCACTGGAAACTCGTTTGACCATTCCAAGCAGTTTACAAGAGATGACATTTCTTTGGGTGTGTCAGGATTAACCATTCGGATTAAATGGACTAAATCTCTACAGTCCCGCAGATCAGTGAATTATGTGCCTATAAAAAGAATGCCTCATTCATTATGTTGCCCTGTGCGTGCCTATTGTCGTATGGTGAACGCCATACCAGCCAGACCTTCTGATCCAGCATTCGTTCAGTGCTACAAGGGACAGCTACGTTCTTGGTCTCGACAGCAATTAGACCAAAAGTTTAGCTGCCTTTTGCACAAATGTGGCCTTGACTCTCAATCATACTCGTTCCACAGCATAAGAAGGGGTGGCGCTTCGCTGGCTGCAGCTACAGGCTCAAGTGACAGTGACATTTGTGCAATCGGCCTTTGGTCATCGTCGTCTTATAAGGACTATATCAAACTCTCGCCACTCATTCTGTCCAGAGTTTCTGGCAGAATGGCACAAACATTTAAATAACTTGGTCAGAGTACAGAACTTTCCCATGTAGTCAGTCATACTTGTATTCTTAATCAGGCTGTCATAACTTGTCACAACTATGTTCACACATTACCAGTTTTTCTATTTCCTTTATTTTCTCAAAGGCTAAATGTCAAGCCATTTCCTTCATTTATTAGTATATATTGATGACTGTTCATCAGTAAATGATTTTATTGTAATGTTGGTTCTGCAGCTGTTTGAACCTATATTTTCAACACATGTCAATCATATTTGTATCCTTAATGAGGTTGTCATAACTTGTCACAACTATGTTCACACATTACCAGTTTTTCTATTTCCTTGATTTTCCCAAAGGCTAAATGTCAAAGCCATTTCCTTCTTTTATTAAGTATATATTGATGACTGCTTTCAGAAACTGTTTTTATTATAATGTTGAATCTGCATAGCTGTTTGAACCTATATTTTCAACATGGCTTCCTTTTGGTTTAGATGTGATGTTATGTTACATATTAATAATAATACTGTAAATGTTATATCCAAGTTATCTAACTCAATGCATGTGATTATGCGATATATCTATCAACCAAAGCACGAACGTACAGCGCACTATATCCGGTTTGCACTGTATGAAATCATACACTGTGACTGCATCGCCCGCGAAACATCGCCAGGAAACCAACTGCTTTCGTCATTCGTAACTACTCGCCTCTTTCCGTGACTTACAAGAAGTTACGAATGCTGCTTTCGTGTCCGCCTTGCATTTGCAAAGGGAAGTAACTCCGCTGTATCGCCTTGTAATTCATGCTGTCAACAAACAACCATTATCTCACCCTGTTCCGTGACCTAAAAAGATAACAGAGACCATATTATATGGTCTCTGAAAGATAACAACGGAACGGACAGGTACAGCAGATTACGCAATACACTGAAGTTGTTACACCGGGCTAAAGCGAGGCATAGCGTATAAGGGCTTGTGTTTGGATCGTGACACAGTTGTTACACCTGTCACCGAACCTTCTCAACAGAGAGCGATTTCCACACGATCGAACAAGCAAGTGTCCCTCATTCAAGATCTTTCGCAATACGGATGAATATGTGTTTATGAAGAAGTGTAAATCCAGTATATCCTTGTCTATAGGTCAGTAGACGCTTTGTATCGGTAAAGCGGAAATGGCTTTGAAATTCACTCCTGTTGTGTTGACGGCGAGGCAAGCTAGACTTGCAATGGGCTTCTGTAGAGGAAAAGCGACAACAGTGACTTCGCAACCAGACATGCATGAAGCCAAGCCGATGTCACAAATCCCCGGCCCAAAAGGATTGTCAATGATAAGCAGCACCTTCCAGTCGGCCACTAATGCTGCGGCATCTCACAAATGGATCCAAGGGAGGCATGAAGAATTTGGACCAATCTTCAGGGAAAGGATGGGAGTTATGGATCTCGTCTTTATATCCGACGCGGACGCTGTCGAACAGTTGTTGAGACAGGATGGGAAATACCCGGAGCGATTACAAATTCACCATTGGTTGGATTACCGGAAGAGGCACGAGATCCCAACAGGGCTGTTCATGTCGTGAGTTTACAAGTGCATACACACACGCATGCACGCGTGCACGCTCTCAAACCACCACACACACACAAGCACACGCACACACACACACACACACACACACACACACACACACACACACACACACACACACACACACACACACACACACACACACACACACACACACACACACACACACACACACACACACTTTCGCTTTCACCTGTCCATAACAACAACTGAGTTATGTTTTAAAGTAAATGTTGCTGGGAATATACACTTCATGATTGATGATGGCTGAAAGTAAGAAATGGTTATTCGATGCATTTGATAGCGATAGCTTTGGTGTGATTATGCCTTATGTTTGCAGTGTTTTGTCGACTGTTTTCATTCTGGTACCATCTTGATATAACGGGTTTTTTCAATCCATACGCTATTTTGCCTGGCAGTGTATTTTGATACAAGGACTGGTATGATATCTATAGTCCCGTGAAGATCAAGTTTAGACTTGATCTTCAGTAACCCATGCTTGTCGTAAGATGCGACTAACGGGATCGGGTGGTCAGGCTCGCTGACTTGGTTGACACATCATCAAATCATAATTGCGTAGATCGATGCTCATGGTGTTGATCACTGGATTGTCTGTTCCAGACTCGGTTATTTACAGACCGCCGCCATATAGTAGGAATATTGCTGAGTGTGGCGTATAACTGAACTCACTCATGATATCTATAGGCTACGGTCATCTTTATGATCCACGCTCAGAAGACTAAAATTATGACACATTCGAAAACTGTTTTAACCTTTTTTGCACTCTGATTCTATCCTATTGTGTCACTGAATACAACTCTAGATATATAAGTAGATCAAGTAATTTACTAACTGCAGCTTAATATGATAGTAGCAGTTTAATCTTAAGAACTATCGCGGCGGCACCACCGACAGGAAGAACGATATTCGTTCAATGGACTTAACGTCAATTTCTAACTTGTTTTTACTCAGATCAACGCATTATCCTACACCATGTTGGCTGGCATGAGTTCATTTTAAAAATACGTTTTAGGTGAAAAGATTGAGTCTGAGAAAATTAACAAACACTGAATTTGACTTTGCTCTTTCCTATTTTATCGTTCTAGTTTCACCATACTATATATTATGCTCTGTCTAGAGATGGACCTCACTGGCATCGACTCAGAAGGGTCATAGATAAACCTATGCTGAAAATCCGAGCTGTCAACTCCTACGCCGTAGAGTTCAATGACGTTGTTGCCGAGTTCATTGCCCGGATGCATCGTGTGCGGAGTTCAGATAATTCCATACCGGATCTTGCCGAAGAGCTGTTTGGTTGGAGTGTTGAATGTACGTAAAATGCTGAACAGAAACAGAAATTGTGATTGCGGATGGCGCTTTTAGGTTTCGTTAATGAATTCGTCTCCGAAATTTGGTCCAAGGTGTAAAATTGATATTGAACCACAATGAATATCACTGGCACACATATGTATCACGTTAAAAAAATGAGTGAGTGAGTTTTAAGCCGCTTTTGGAAATATTCCAGCAATATCAGGGGGACACCAGAAATGGGCTTCACATATTGTACCCATGTGGGAAATCGAACCCGGGTCTCATACGTATCGAGCGAACACTTTAACCTACTGCCCCCACGAACACAAGACGTATGTGTTCATAAGATACATTAACTGTATTCAGCAATATTTTGGATTAGGTTTATAAGTTACGTGTTATAATTTTATGTTAAAGCTATTGGCCGACTCTTGTTTGAGAAGAAACTGGGCTGCTTGTCCGACCAGCGTGACCAAGAGACCCAAGCCTTCATTGACAGCGTCCATGCAGTGTTTGAGAGCACCAGGGAAATGATTTTCCTTCCGCCATGGGGAGCTCGGATATTCATGCGAGGTGTTTGGAAACGGCACGATGAGGCATGGAACACTATATTTAGAGTCGGTTGGTTGACTGTTTTTCTATATTTAGGATCTACACATATATTATAATATTTGAATTCAATTCAAGACCAAATGAGGCAAGATCAAAGGAACCGTCAGTCAATTATAGTACTATAGGAATGAGCAGCTGGAACGCCTTCCACTAGTTATCCTAGCTTTTACGCTGAAGTTGTTTCTGACTTGCGAGGTCTTCTACAACAAACTGTCAGTGACGTCACGAGCAGAAGACCGTCAAATCGTGCTACGTCACCTACGACAGATTTCGCCGGCTACACGAACTAGGGCTGAAGTCGAAGACATATCCAGTGTCCTAGTGCCTATTCGCGGACGGCAGGCACTGGAGACGACGTAGGCCCAATGTTGTGTACACAGATTCCGGAAGTCAGCTGTGGGAACAACTTCCTGACTTCTGGTCATCCGTGGAAACCTCACAGCTGCTTTACCGCGACAAGGTGCTCACCCCTGAACTCGTTCCTTCATATGGCGGCTCATGGCCCAGGTCTACGACCAGCATGATAATGCTCGGCTGGCAACGTCACGGCCATCGAGGTTGACCTAACCGGCTCCAGAATTATTTTCACTGTTATTTCATGCGTACGTAGGGATTCGAAACCAGCGTAAAATACGAACACTTAAATGTATGACTACGTCACTAGACTCACTACCCTTCTGTCATATGACCTGAAGTGTATCAGTCACATTATCCCTGATTCTCAGTGTTACATCATCGTTGTGATAAGTACCCTGGATCAACATGCATCAACCGTATCAGCTGGTGCACGTGTCACCATTTAAGTATCTGTTATCACCAGCTGCAATGTATTATTGTGTGTGTCCCAGCAAACGACATAATAGGCACCAAACTGCGGGAGATCCAGGAGAAGGGCGCCGATGGTTCTGAGGTGGGGTTTCTTGCCAGCTTCCTTGAAGAGAACTCGCTCTCCACAGATGAGATCTACAGCAACGTGTCCGAGCTCTTAGGTGCTGCCATTGACACGGTAACGCCCTTTGTTGAACTTGAGTTCTGTGAGTTTAGTGTGCTATATTATTTGCCATCTCAAAGTCGTAAATGTGTTTTAAGGCGTACATAACTATCGTGTTCCAGACTTCTAACACCACCCAGATGATTCTGCAGGAAGTTGCCAGCAATCCCCAGGTTCAGAGTAGACTTCTGGAGGAAGTGAACAGAGTTGTGCCCCCTGACCAGCAACCAACTGCAGAGCATCTGAAAGATATGCATTACTTGAAGGCGGTCATTAAAGAAACTCTCAGGTGCGAGTGGCTGTTTTTCCAACAATTTTATTGGAAGCATCATTTGTTCATTTGAAGGATGCAAATATCAACTTCACATTTATACGATCCTAATTTTGTCAACACCATATATCTGATCCTCGAGTCATAGATTTACTATAAGTCCATATGTTATGATAAACGTTACTACTGATACAGCAGATCTATGTTTTGATATCATAAAACGGTTGTTGATATCAAACATATCATTTCTATATATGTATATAATATATTATTAATACAATTATGATATAAATATATCATTAACAGTAAGCTATGTGAAATATATCGATGGAATTACACGTGCATTAGACACGAGTAGCCTATTAATTGCAGTAAGATGCCATGAAGTGAATTTTGATTGACTTCTATATATAAATATATATAGTTATTCCTTTTTAAAAATGATTTAGTGATATCCAACATCGAATTTAGGACGTCCAAAAATCAAATGTCAATGGCCTGCCAAACCTCGTTTTTTCCATCTAAACTGACACGCAGTGACATAAATTCAGATCCATAAACTGCAGATCCTTGCAGGTCTAAGGGAAGCAACCCTGACACCTGAGACAACTAACATATTTTGGTTTTCTATGCTGAGACCTATGCATGTTTTAACATATCCTCTGAATGTTATTTCAGGATGTACCCTACCGCTGCCGTTGTATTTCGGAACCTGCAGCAGGATGCCACCATTCTAGGTTACTCTATACCTAAAGGGGTGAGTAATTTATACTCTCCATCTATAGACTGTGAAACTGTGGGGATCGGGGTTAGAACTGGTCTTCAACCCTTTCTTGTCGTAAGAGGCTACTAACGAATCAGATGTTCTGGCTCGCTGATTTGTTTCATACATGTCGTCATATCCCAATTGTGAAGATTAATGCTTTTGAGTGTCAATAACTGTACTGTATGGTGCAGATTTTATTATTTACGGATTACCATTGGAGCAGTAAGAAATACACCTTAAAGCAAACGACGAGGAACAATCAATTGCACTGACCTTGGTCCCATTTTGACACCAAACCGAAAATTGCTTCTTGTCCATATTACTAAAATCACGGTCGTTGGATCGATTAGGTGCCTGACTCTGAGGGTGTGAGTTCGAATCCCGGATGGGGCTCAACTCAAAAAGTACTAGAATTTGTACTTCACTATGAAAGTGTAATCCCAAATATAACATATGTTACATATTACTGAAATCACGGTCGTTGGATCAAACATATATATGTTTGTGTAAATTACAAGTAGATAAGTAATGTCTTCAGTAATATATAAGGTGATAAATGACTTAATGCTTCAGTATCAGCCTCCGTGGTATGCGTGTAAATTAGACTTTTCATAATTTCATCCATACAAACTATCGGTTACGGGAAGACCTTGTCCTGTCGCGTCAATTAGGCTGATTATCTCAAATTATTTCTTTTGCTGCCCACGCGCTTATTTAGAGGGAGGAGTAGGTTTTGAAACGGTTGTAACTCCCCTACTTTATACAACGCCACGCCCACTCTACACAGGTTTCCATGTGTGTTCATCTCTATGCTCTGGGGCGTCATCCCAAATACTACGAACATCCAGACGAGTTCCGACCAGAACGTTGGCTCAGGGACGAAGGCAACAAGAAGATACACGCGTTCGCCTGGTTGCCTTTCGGGTTTGGACCTCGGATGTGTGTAGGTGGGTAGAACTACTTGTTGGTATACCGATTTGTCATAATGGTGGAGTGAGTGAGTTTAGTTTTACGCCACATTTAGCAATATTACAGCAATATCACGGCGATGGACACCAAAAATGGGCTTTACAGATCGTACCCATGTAGGGAATCGAACTCAGTTTTTCGGCATGACGAGCGAACGCTTTAACCTCTAGGCTACCCAACTGACCCTCATACTGGTGGAAACTGCAGATGCATTTAAAGAGGAAATTGTGTGTTTAACCCCATCATGTTCCTTCAAGATGACACGGGAGAGAATAGTTACATAGGTTTCTGCTAGATTTAAACAACTGGTGGTCAGTCCCATCGAACTGGTTCATTGGGCGTTGTGGTACCCCACCGGGAGGCCGCTGGGATAGCTAAGTGGTTAAAGCAGTCAGTCGTCACACCGACGACCCGGGTTCGAGCCCCTACATGGGTGCAAATACTGCAATGTGTGAAGCCCATTTCTGGGAAAGAGTTCCGCCCGTACCCTCCTCCCCCATGAAAAACCAAAATTACAAACAAACATGCACACCTCACCCTAAATATACATTAAAAAGAGAGGGACTCGATTCCAAAGAGAGGGGGTTACGGGCGGAACTCTTTCCCATTTCTGGTGTCCTCCCGCCCCGATATTGTTGGCATAATGCTGAAAGCGGCGTAATGTTCATCATACTCACCCAGTAACCACCCCACCTCACATCCGTCACTGCCTTGTCCGATCCAGGTTCAGTTCTTTCCAGGACAGATGGAACATTAGGGGACTTGAACAAAGTACAAACAATCTTAAATTTATACATTTTGGGAAAGGTTTCAGTTTTTTACACCACTGTGCGGTAGGTCTAATGGATGCAGTAATGACGCATATGGTGTATGTTAAGTCTCCTCCTGTTGTCCTCAAACCCTTTCTGTGTACACTAAGTCTCCTTTATACTGATATCTACAATGTATGACGTATGTTGTTTAGGGCGGCGTGTTGCTGAACTTGAAATGCAGTTGCTCATATCACAGGTAAGCACACTTCTGACACTAAATAAACACAAGTACTGTCACTATACTTCTTTGGAACATTTACCAGCTTGACTGCGTATATGTTGTATATGAGCCATCGCGTTTTTGGTTGTTTATATATTTTAAGAAATCCACATTTTGTAAATTCAAAATCTTCTGTGATTTCTTATTCACAGGTTATGGCTATGAATGTATGCCTCACTTCCCTCTCACTTAAAATACACTTTTTTCAAGGGTAAATTCCATTGAAGGTCTGTCTGACCTTTAGTTCGTGTGCCTCCCCTCACTGTCATGAATGTTCTTTTTTGTTTGTAAAGCTTGTTCGGAAGTTCCACATTGAACCATTGTCTGACAAACCGATGGAGATGAAGACGAACCTTCTCCTGATGCCTGTACATCCGGTTGAAATACGCCTTGTAGACAGAGCCTAGTCTGAAACTACACACGACAAACACATGTGGTTTGTAAGCCATGTATAGAGAGAGCCTTGTCTGGCAGCGTAGTGGGCTTGGAAGCGTTGACTCGTCACGTCGAAGACACGAGTTTGATTCCCAAAATGATTACAATGCCACAAATGCACACTGACACCATAAATCCGTCGACAATTGTTATAATGAGTACAGTTCACGCTCGTTCCGTGATTGTTCCACGACAAAGGTTGTAACTGACTCCCTCACTCATATATTCATATATAATGCACCTCACACTATCGAGATTTACACCTGAAGCAGATATAAAGGCTATGCTATGCTGATATGTTTGGTTTAAAAACAATATATTGCACAGGCAGAACAGCAGCTACGTTTCTCAAACTGATCATGGCATCTACTTGCATTTTGTATTGGGAATAAAATATTGGCGTTTTGTTTTTTTGTGTTTTGTTTCTAAAAAAGAAAGTATTTCAGTAATAGGTGTTGTTTTAATATAAATGATTACTAAAGATAATTTTTAGTGTTGATTTAATGTCGCTTCATGTCGCTTCAAAGTGACGCAGGTCTGATATGTTTACCATTTTGGTAAAATCCACAAGCACGGTTGTAAGTATAGTGCTAATGGACCTAGACACGCAATCATGCTGATCCAGGATTCGAACCCACGATCATAGGTTCCAAAGCCATAAAGCGGCGCCTTGGAATATTGCTAGCAGGAAAGCTCACTCACTAAACCTTGATACATTATATTTTCATATACCGTACATTGAAATACCACGTGTTCTTGGAACCAATCACCATGCTTAAAACATTGAACTCACATTGAAATATGTCTAAGATACCCGAAAACAATACATTGTACTAATGGTACAAAACATTGCGCGTTTCGTCAGATGGTCACACGTGCTAAGACATATGTGAGGTAAAGGTGCGGGGGAAGTAAAGGGTAAACAAGTAACAGTTGCCATGTGAGTGAGTTTAGTTTCACGCCGCACTCAGCAATATTCCAGCTATATGGCGGCGGTCTGTAAATAATCGAGGATGGACCAGACAATCTAGTGATCAACAGCATGATCATCGATCTACGCAACTACGATACGATGACATGTGTCAATCAAGTCAGCGAACCTGACCACGTGCACCCGATCCCGTTAGTCGCCTCTTACGACAAGCATGGGTTACTGAAGACCAATTCTAACTCGGATCTTCATGGGTACCATGGAACAGTAAAACGCAGTGTATTTTAATATGAAATAGTTTGTAAACAAAACTTTTTTTGTTTAAAACCTGAATACTGTATACGAATATTTAAATCTCCCTTTGAGCTGGAATATATAGGAAGTGGTACTACATCTCATCATGTTCCATCTCATTGTTCATAACAAATGGTTTATTGCATACAGACCACATTATAGGTCTCAAACTTTGAAACATCTCAAATTGCTTGGTCCAGTTGATGTCCTGAAGTGGATCGGTCCAGTTCGGGCCTGTGTACTTATATGTCCAGATAGCATCGGACGTTGGCCCAACGTTGGCAATGTTGACAAAACCATTGCCAACGTTGGGCCAAAGTCTGAATGCTATCTGGGTGGTCCAGTTAAAAGAACCTTTAGATGTCTCAGCATAGTGAATGAGTATTGTTTTACGCCGCTTTTAGCAATATTCCAGCAATATCACGGCGGGGACCCCAGAAATGGACTTCACACATTATACCAATGTGGGGAATCGAACCCGGGTTTCGGTGTGACGAGCGAACGCTTTAACTACAAGGCTACCCCACCACCATTGTCTCGGCTTTGACAGACGCTGTATCTGAATATATATAATTTTGAAACAAATAATTCCATTTAAATTGAAAAGCAGCCTCAGTGAGATAGGAGATACTAAACCTGGGGAAAACTAGACTTGCTTCATTTAGAGCTTTTGCATTGTAAAGTGGGCTGGGCGGAGGGAAAACGTAGTTCGGGGACAAATGTCGACCCTGTTACTGGACACACGTAAACAAAGATAAGCTATCGAGGCCTCAGCTCCCATGTCAGTATCTGGCATGTGTGAGTGCAGTAAACTTTCACTCAGTGTACTAACTCCCTTAATGCAGACACCCTCGGTGTAAATTAGTTCTTAATTTGTGAATTATGTGTCACCAAGTGGGGGTGGGTGTGTGTGGGGGTGGTGGTTCCACCACATATGTGACTGTACTTGTTAACAAATCTATCCCAAATGAAAGTCCTCTTTCAAACACCACAGAACAGATAGGTAAACCCGACCGTTTATACCTACAGGCGGCCTGTAATCTATTACAAGCAACATTCGCCCTGTGCGTTTAATCCGGGGCAGTCAGACAGCTATTTCTTGGTAGGCTGTAAATGTACTGGTCAGGACGAGTGAGGATACGGTGTTCTCAAAACTGCCGTACACTGACGGACTCTGCACTCGCTGACAAGTTATTACAGGTTACTCCTGACAACCTTAGGACTGGTCGGTAAACCAGGGCGGTCGCTCAAGCTGCAACACGTGACTGTGCTGTTCATAGGCTTACAGTGTAAACATTGCGCAAATATATAACAGTTTGTGAAATACAGAGTTGTGATTCGTCGTGCTTAACTTCTTTTTCTGCGGTGTCGGTGAACTGACAAAACCACAGACGTACAAAAATGTCAGTGTGTCGTGTCACAGGCGGAGTCCGATTCGGACAGTGTAGGTCAGCGCTCCTGGTCTTCAGGCGACACAAGGCAACAGCTGCGGCTATCCAGTCTAAAGAAGATGGCGAGGCCGTGAAACCTTTTTCGGCACTTCCGGGACCGAGAGGTCTGCCTTTCATCGGGACTCTGTTCCACACCTTGAGAAATTCCTCACGACTGCATGAATCTATCCAAGATCGCCACAAGACCTATGGACCAATTTTCCGCGAGAAGCTCGGGGTCTTAGACGCCGTGTTCTTGATGGACGTGGATGCTGTGGAGTCGTTACTGAGACAGGATGGGAAATATCCATCCCGTATGCAGGTTGACATATGGCACGAGTACAGGAACATCACGGGCCTAGGAAAGGGACTGTTGTTGAAGTAAATGAATATCTGGATTTTAGTACGTGGGGATGTATCGACTGTTTATGCCGCTTAAAGGCAAGAATATTGGTGCGGGGACGTAAACCCGTTGGTCAACTATCTGGTTTAATTCTGATTTGTAAGTTGTCGTTTTGGAAATGTCCACAGTTAGTAAGTGGGTATTAACGCCGAATTGAACAAAATTGACCTACATCAGATCGTTACTTATCTTTGCTTGAGGAAAACCTCAAACCTATGCACTGCAGGATCACGACTTCCATGAAAGCCCAGACAGTAAACCACGGGCACAAGCAGTGGTGTTAAACCCCAGAAACATAATCAGGGCAAACCTCTCAAAGGTGGATTGAAACACACATTCATAGGATTCTGTCTCTCCCAAGGGAGCTAACTCAGTGAAATGAGGCGACTAAGAGATCTGAGTCCCCCAATTCCAGGGTGGTCATGTTAATATTTTTATGAATCACAATATTTTCCTGCAAATACAGACATGATGTAGGTACGGTAATTATTACATTCATATCTGTCTATTCAGCGAGGGTGAAAAATGGCATTCTCTGAGGCGTATTGTGGACAGACACATGCTGAAGACTAGAACTGTGGAGTCTTATGCTGGGGACTTCAACACGGTGGTGGCTGAATTCCTCGACAGACTGGACAGGATCCTACCCGGCGATAAAGAGATGCCCAGCCCTGACGAGGAGCTGTTCAACTGGTCCCTGGAGTGTAAGTATGTCAGTTGTGTAGACCCCATTATCTTTGTTACTGACAACCGCGATGGGAAGCTGGGTATTATTTTATGTTCCAGAGGTTGGACCGATAATTGACCAAACAAGGTGGAGGCTGTAGAGCACATCAAACATTTCATTTACAGTGTTAGGAAATCATGAAATTCATGTTTTGCCAGTTTCTGGCGTATTTTGTTTTTGAAACCTGATGAACTGATGAATGTGGTGTGAAACAAAATCGCCACAAGTCAGTTTCAAGATAGTGTACATCTATTTATATCCTATTAGGAGTGGGCTGCTTAGTGGTTCCTCACGATCCGGGTTCGATTCCCCACATGGGTACAATGTGTGACTTGCTTGAATATTGCTAAAACGGCGTAAAACTAAACTCACTTACTCCATTGTTGTTAGTGAAGTTCCATGTTCCTTCCACAGCCATCAGCAGAATTCTATACGAGAAGAAACTGGGGTGTCTGTTGGATGGGAAGAGCAAGGACGCACAAGATTTCATCAACAGCGCTCACGAAATCTTTGCGACATCCCGAACACTCGTATTGTTCCCTCCTCAAGTTTCTAAAGTGATCATGCCAAAACTTTACAAGCGGCACATGGCATCCTGGGAAACTTCATTCCGTGTGGGTGAGTCTGACACACCATCCTATGTACCTCATTCTGTGTAGGGGAGTCTGACACACCATCCTGTGTACCTCATTCCGTGTAGGTGAGTCTGACACACCATCCTATGTACCTCATTCTGTGTAGGTGAGTCTGACACACCATCCTATGTACCTCATTCCCGCTTAGGTGAGTCTGGCACACCATCCTGTGTACCTCATTCTGTGTAGGTGAGTCTGACACACCATCCTGTGTACCTCATTCTGTGTAGGTGAGTCTGACACACCATCCTGTGTACCTCATTCTGTGTAGGTGAGTCTGACACACCATCCTGTGTACCTCATTCTGTGATTCTGACTCACCAAGTTGACGAACTCACTATCGAGAATATATCATCCTGTACACCGCATACCATGCGGGCATTCCACGTGACTATCCAACTTTTATGTATCATACTGAGTGCTTTTAGAGTGATGGTACGACGTATCCTGTCGGTTGCACCGGTCATAAACAAATGCAAAGGCTAGTCAATCGTTAAATTCAATTAAAAGCATGGGAACAAATCATCACAGGGAATCACATTGGACGTAATTTTTGTCTTTGCTCAGATATTGCTTGACACAATGATAAAAGAGATTAACCCATCCCGTCGTCCTATCGTGACTGTGACTAAACGTTGATGGGAAGCAATGCCAATATCGAAGATTTCCGCATCAGTACCGCAAATGCAGTTCTCGGTTTTGACTTCTACACGTGATTGTTGGCCATTGTATCTATTTGTTGTAGAACCGGAAGACGGACAGCCATCCCGCCTTCCTAGTGCGCACATCTTGCATGCACTATTTCATAGTAAAACCGGAATAATACAATGGCCTCTTATAATTATGATGAGGGTGCTTTCACTATTATTTCAGCTAAAGGAGTAATCGATGAGACAATTGAGAGGATTAAGAACAAGGCTGAGATGGATGAAGGAGACGTTGGTTTCATCACTCACTTCCTGAAGGAGAACATGGACATTGAGGACCTGTACGTCAATGTGTGGGAGCTCATGGCCGCCGCCGTGGATACGGTGAGTCCTTATGGATACGGCAGATCTTAATGGACACGGTCAGTCTTTATGGATACGGCAGATCTTCATGGATACGGTGAGTCTTTATGGATACGGCAGATCTTCATGGATACGGTGAGTCTTTATGGATACTGCAGAGCTTCATGGATACGGTGAGTCTTTATGGAAACGGAAGATCTTCATGGACACGGTGAGTCTTTATGGATACGGCAGATCTTCTTGGACACGGTGAGACTTTATGGATACGGCAGATCTTCATGGACATGATGAGTCTTTATGGATACGGCAGATCTTCATCGTGGTGAGTCTTTATGGATACGGCAGATGAGTCTTTATGGATACGGCAGATCTTCATGGACACGGTGAGACTTTATGGATACGGCAGATCTTCATGGACATGATGAGTCTTTATGGATACGGCAGATCTTCATCGATATGGTGAGTCTTTATGGATACGGCAGATCTTCATGGACGCTGTGAGTCTTTATGGATACGGCAGATCGGTGAGACTTTATGGATACGGCAGATCTTCATGGATGGATGAGAGTCTTTATGGATACGGCAGATCTTCATGGACACGGTGAGTCTTTATGGATACGTCTTCATGGACACGGTGAGTCTTTATGGATGGATACGGCAGATCTTCATGGATCTTCATGGATACGCGTCTTTATGGATACGGCAGATCTTCATGGACATTTTATGGATACGGCAGATCTTCATCGATATGGTGAGTCTTTATGGATACGGCAGATCTTCATGGACGCTGTGAGTCTTTATGGATACGGCAGATCTTCATGGATACGGTGAGACTTTATGGATACGGCAGATCTTCATGGATATGAGTCTTTATGGGCACAGTCTTAACTGATACGTTGACACTTTAAGGATACGTTGAGTCGTAACTTTTATTGGGAGTCCTTATGGATAGAAGAAAAACGGGTATAATGAATATTACCTATACCGATAGGAAGAGAAAACTTAAAACATACAATTTCAACGAACACTGATCTAAGCCTCTGTATGTCGGTGTGCAGAGTTGTAGCTCTTAGCTGGAGCAGGGTCTGCTGGCCGTGTTTTCCATCACATTCCCATGTTTGGGGGTTTCACAAAGGAAATAATGATCGGCATCACTTGGATTCTTCCATGCAAATAAAAAGGAAACTTTCTGCTGCAAACAAACAACCCCCTCTCTCTCGTTGTAGACGTCATACACAACGCTGGCCATGCTGAACGAAATATCACGTTGCCCGCGTGTACAGGACGCCATCTATGAAGAAATCACACGAGTTGTTCCCCCTGGCGAGCACCCCACAGCTGATCATCTGAAGGAGATGCATTACATCAAGGCGGTCATTAAGGAGACGCTCAGGTACACGCAAAGGCCGTTATATCTGTCTCTTATACTTCAGTAAAGGTGCTGTGGAGCTGTGATATGGGATAGAGCTATTATCCCCTACCTCCATATGTTATTTTCCAAATGTTCCTATTTCCATGGCACTGATTTTATCACTATTGGAAGTAACCTTCTTTTTAGTAAACATCAGTTGGAAGGAATTTTTTCAATGTTAATTTAACTATATAGTGAAAATGAGAAATTGCCTATATAAGTATATCTTATAATGTCCGTAAGGGACTTTCCATTAGATGAACAAATATTTTGGCTCCTGTTTTACCAAGGGAAGTTAACTGTTCACTGAACATGCTGGATGTTCTGGCAAAAATACTGACTTTATTCCTAATTTAGTAACATAACATGTATTTATTTAGCTTGACATTGATACCCGTCTTCCAGGATGTACCCGACTGTGGGTGGTATCTCCAGGATTACACAGAACGACCTTGTGCTTATGAATTACAGTATTCCTAAAGGGGTATGTATTGGCACTCGGTCTTCAAACACATACCCCACTACTTCACTCTTTTTGCGTTCACTGTTTCTTAATAAAATGATCCATACAAACCGATTAAATACAGGCGGGTGTTAGGGTGAGGTACAGGTCAGCATATGGTCGTTGTTAGGTCAGGAAACGGTAGCCCAGTGGTTTAAGCCTTCACACCTCACACCAACTACACCGGTTTTGTAATCTAATGGTCCGGACCGTGATGTAATTTTTGAAGAACAAACACTACCGCTTCATATCTTAGATATATCCACTACACCCGACCCGTTGGCTTGTTCACTCAAGACATCGCTTTGTTATTTATGATATTTTACATGTGAACTTAGACCACTGTCTGGGTGGACCCTTACACCATGGGACGTCTCCGATGTCACTACGACGACCCCGACACCTTCCTCCCCTGAACGCTGGCTCAGAGCTACTAGGACGACCAAAACGCACCCTTTTGCATGGTTGCCATTCGGGTTTGGAGTCCGCGCATGCGTGGGTAAGTATCATCCAGACTTCCGGTTCCGGTACTGGCATCTTGTATTGTTTCAGATGCAAAATACTAAAATGAACAGAAAACAGCGACAACTCACCATACGCGATCTATATCGGTAGCAGCCACAGTATTTAATTTGCCAATATACCAATTTGCAAAACGTGTTTGAACGCACCTGTTTAAAGGTTTAACATTATAACAATGTGCTATATTAAGCGGAATATTTTAACGCAATTATCTATTGCACAATGCGATTTTTCGCTATATGTCATCTTCCTGCAAAGCATACATGGATATATATTCACTCTCGCACTCTTTTTCTTCATCATATACCGACGGTATGCTCCGCTCTGCTTTACTTACGTTTTATGATTCGTGAAGGTCCGGGTTAGAATGAATCTTCAGTAACCCATGCTTGTCGTAAGAGGCGACTAACGGGATCGGGTGGTCAGGCTCGCTGGCTTGGTTGACACATGTCATCGGTTCCCAATTGCGTAGATCGGTGCTCATGCTGCTGATCTCTGGATTGTCTGGTCCAGACGCGCTTATTTACAGACCACCTCCGTATAGCTGGAATATTGCTGAGTGTGGCGTTACAACAAACAAACAAACCAACCAACTTACGTTTAAAGTGTTAGTTTTTTTAATGAATGTCCATGCCATTGTCAAACGAAGTGTCCATACCATGCTACCGCCATATAGCTGGAGTATAGCTGAGTGCGGCGTAAATGTAAACTCACTCACTCGCCCATACCATGCTAAGTTAGCGAGTCTAAATCACTTCAAGGTCAGAGAATTGAAGACATATTAATTCGAATATTCTTATCTGTTCTGTTCATAACTATGCCATCGTAGATTTACTAAAATGGCTTCCAGTCATCAAGGTAATGCTAACGGTTTGGGTTATCATCTATTTACAGGCCGACGCGTCGCTGAACTCGAGATGCAACTCTTAGTCTCACAGGTGAGATTGTTCAGAAAAAAGACGTTTACTGTTTACAAGAAAGCAGATCTGAGGAAACTATAAACCGTTTTTTCAGGCTTAATGATTCTCTTCATCAAATATTGCCTATGTCCGCCGCCTTGAATTTGCTAGAATATCAATAAGATTCTTATAAGCTACTCACTCACTTATCAAATGAGTCATCTTTGATTTGCCAAAGTTAAATCTGAGTGAAGATATTTGGTTGCATATTTGCTTACAGTCATATCATTTGGAGTCACTTTGTGATTGCTATTAGATCACTCTTTTCTCTTGTGACAAACCATGCTGGACGATATTGATAAACCGTTTGAAGTCTTTGAGACACATATCAAACTCAATTTAAGTTTAAGTAGTCGGGCTTTTAAAGATGATGTTAAAAGTACACTGCCTACTCCTCAGACCTCTAGGATAACTCCATCAACACAACACCACGTAAATATGCAGTGTTCCTGTAAAAAAACATATGTGAGAAATGCATTCCTAGTACCTTTTTCAATTAAACTTAATTGACATGACGGTATTCATATTTTTTCTACAAATGTAACCATATATTGATTACGGGAATCTGCCTTCCAATTACACATTTTGTATGTTTCAGTTTGTGCGCAAGTTCAAGCTGGAGGCTATTTCTAAAGAACCATTCCGGATAAAATTCGACCTACTTCTTCTGCCAAAGGATCCTGTGAGAATCCGTCTCTTAGACAGAGATTCGCACTAGCTTGAATGTGCTCTCACACATTCGGATTGTAATCCCGAGACAAGCCGAATGAAGGGCGGAAACAGCAACTTCCACCTGTGCTCCTCGTGCGTTCTGTTGGCTTTCGTCTAAACTGTTTAGACATGTGTTTTTATAGGGTCTGACTCTTTAGAGTAGAGGATCCCATCAATGGTTTCTCTCAAATTGAAATCCAGGTACAGAGTTACGCTTTGTCTCCAGTTGTCCGTTAGTTCATCCTTTCTACAATATGATCTGTGATTCTTGCCTTTGTCATGTCATAAGTTCGTTCAAATTATCAAAACTGAAAAAGCAATCATATCAATTTCATTAAAAATACAATTATGAATATGCATTTCTGTGAGGGGTTTTAAAATATCTGATTGTGCGTGAGTGTCTGAGATTTGACGGTGACATGGGTTAAAGGGTTATAATTGGGAAGAATGCCACAGCTCTTCGCACCAAGAACACAGGTCACACCATGTGAGGAGTACAGAGTGTTTCACGTATGAGCATGTCAGCGGTTACAGTCTGTCTGATTACTATCCATAGATGACACATTCATATATATACATATATCAATTTTCTAGCATTATCACTCGGGGAGCACCATAATTGGGCTTCACACATTGCACCACTGTGGCAATCGAACCCTTGTCTTCGGCGGGATGAACGAACACTCTAACCATTAGACTACCCACCTCCCCCAATCGTGGTGTATGTATGAGCAGGTTAACAAACAGGAGGTAAAGATTCAAATTCTGCCAATGTTCAAGCAAAGGTTTGTCACCATATAGTGGGGAAGCGAACCAGGGTCTTCGGCGGGATGAACGAACGCTCTAACCATTAGACCTCCACCTCCCCAAAATCATGGTATATTCATGACCTTTATACCTTCAAGGAAAGGTTTGTTTACACAACGAAAACAAAGATATAGAGAATACAATGAAATGGCGGCAGCCTTGTCCAACGAATGATATTTAGTTACTGTACGTATCTTCGTTTTACGTTTCTTGACAATCACCTCGACCGTGATGCAAACTGATGGTGAGTCAGCAAGCCGTCCATGATGTCGCAACATCTAGGTCGACATATGACATCTAGTACGAACGGACAAGGACGTCTCTCGACATTCAGTGGTGACAAGGCAGACTGAGATCTATATAAGGCCTGTGTCCCAGTTAGGGTATCAGCGATTTGACCTTATCCTGACACCCCTGTCATTCGGCACTCTTACAAGGCAATGAGTGAACTTTACTATCAGCGGTAGCCTCCCAAATTTAGACAGCCATATCTTAGACAGCTTAATACAACATTTCTGGTTCAGTGCACAACTAATCCTCAAGCTGATACCTATTTCTTATAATGGATCAGTCCAGTAGAATCAATTAGAAAAGACGTTATGTTCATTCAGCATATTTATTATAAGTTCAACAGAGATAAAAAAAATAAATAGTAAATAATAAAATATGGTATGTTGATCATGTCCATTCTTGGCAAGTAGCATTCCACCTAACAATCATGCAGAGGTGGATAAGTCCAAAATTTCATATTCACTTAAATAAATAATTGACATGATACATTGACATGAAAAAGATCTAAAAGTTTGGAAAAGAACTGATTCCTGTTGTACATATACTGTTCACAATGTAGAGAGCTGTATCAGATATACACAGCGATCGTTGTTAATAACCAAGATGTTGACGGCTTGAGCAATATGTCACTAGCTGGTCGCACATTGTGACCAACCGATCCCCCGACTATAGTCGGCTTTTCGTGTCAATTTTGGACGAGTTAGACTAACACTTAGTCTCTGAATATATGTATAATTTTGATAGTAACAAATAAACCCATTTAAATTGAAAAGGAGCCCCAGTCAGATGGGAGATTCAGAACCTAAGGACTCTAGACTTGCTTTATTTGGGGCTTTAGCATTGCAGGAAGGGCTGGGCAGTAGGGAAATTAATGTGGTTCAGGGACTGTGAGACTGGATGAGCCTATAAGGACATATATAGCCTTTACTATAGTAAGTCAAACATTTCTACTTGTATGCAGCAGGCGAAATTCAAAATTAACACATCGTTATTAATATAAACAAATCAGTTAACGCCCTATTATGCCACTGGGTAGTCTGGCCAAGAGCCAGTTGTTTACAGGCTGGCCTCGTAGTGCTGTGGATTGGGTTGGAGAACAGACACTTTCTGGTGTTACGCAAATTGTGTGAGGATCGGGTACTACTGGCTTTTGGGCCCAATCGATTCTGTTTCGGCAGATGTATTATCAGTTTTATTCCCTGTCGTTGACATTTCATATTAACTATATACTCTTCACGTACACATGGATATAGACTAACGCTTAATCTCTGAATATACAGACTTTTCATAGACACAAATACTTCCTTTTAATTGAAAAGGAGACCCAGTGAGATGGGAGATGAAATCTAGACTTTAGCATAGCAGAAAGGGCTGGGCGGAAGAGGCAATAATGCCACTGAATACGTTAAACATTAACCAATACCTCTCAAACCCTACAATCACCATATGGATGCACTCTCTGAATACAACCTAGTGCCAATAGAACTGTGCTCCTGAGTCAAGAAGGGCTGTCATTAAATAAGAAAAATCTAGAAAACCTGGTTAAAGCTAACATTGTATTTATGACAGCCAACTGTATCTGGAGACAAATAACACATGGTGAAAGTTATATTATTAACAAGTAATTGTTACTAAACACAAGCAATCTCAGGGGTTAAAGCCCCAATCAAGAGTGAAAAACATCGCCAATTTCAAAGACATATTATCCAAACCAACATACAAAGTCACTATAACATCTTCAATACATGAATACGCTTTCTTATCCAACCGATAAAACCTAAAAACAATGCAAAATATAAAACTTCTTAAACATAATGTATGGACAGTAAATTCCTTATGAGACATCTAATACGTATCATGAAGCCGAACTGACCATTGGGCAGCGTTGAGCTGGAAAGCCGCTATTGTCACTGAAACATGAAGAGCCTCGTTTATCGACCCGGTGACAGACAGTATGAAAAGGAATTTACTATATTTGGCATGCTCTTAAGTGAATGAGTGAGTTTAGTTTTACGCCGCACTCAGCAATATTCCAGCTATATGGCGGCGGTCTGTAAATAATCGAACCTGGACCAGACAATCCAGTGATCAACAGCATGAGCATCTATCATTTGGGAACCGATGACATGTGTCAAACAAGTCAGCGAGACTGACCACCCAATCCCGTTAGTCGCCTCTTATGACAAGCATGGGTTGCTGAAGACCAGATCCAACCCGGATCTTCACGGGTAATATAAGTATGAAGTCAAATCTACCACCACAGTATGTTATCATCTTTTCTCAGTAGCAGACCGACTACTCACGATTTCACATATATAAATGTACCTGTTTCACAAAGTGGTCCAAAATATATAGTATTTCTCTGGCTGTTATAACTGAAGGTAAGATCGTTTTGTGGGCCATAGTTCCCTTCCCTTCACACAGTCCCGCTTATAGCGTGGACTCAATAACGCGGGCTGGGCCACTCAACGCTGTAACTATTGTAAACAGCCTGATAAAGAAAGTAGGTCAGATACCTATTCGCTTCAACGGTCGGTAGCCCTCAACCAGTGGAGGTTGTCAGGCGAAATTCTTTCGATCGTTTCATCATTCTAATAGAGTTTATATATCACCCGCCGTGCAATACCAGTAACTTGTGATGAAGCTGTGTCCAGCGCATCTACTGCTTGCCTAGTCTCGCAGCTGTACAACATGTTGTCACGGGTCGTGTTGAGCAATGTCCGACCAGGACAGGCCATATCGGCCGCGTCTGTCTTGTGTCGATTCAAGGCGACGACGTCGTCAACCCAAGCCGACGATGATGTTGCAGACGTCAAACCGTTCTCGGCGCTGCCCGGTCCGAAGGGTTTGCCTTTTGTCGGCACTGTGTTCGACGTCATAAAGAATTCGTCGCGGATGAATAAAATGATCCAGAAACGTCACGAAACGTATGGACCCATCTACCGGGAGAAGATGGGAGCGATAAATGCTGTGTTTCTGACGGACGTTGAAGCGGTCGAGCAGCTGTTCCGACAGGATGCGAAGCACCCACGTCGAATCGACATTGAACACTGGATTCAATACAGGGAGGAACGAGGGCTGAATAAGGGACTTCTCATGTCGTAAGTAGATTCATATAACCATTGTTGGGTTTGAACATGGGATCTTTGTGCATATCAATTCCAAATTGGATGGTACCGAACACAATCTAGTGAGAAGCTGGTTGAGAGTATTGCATATCATTAAACATTTCCATCGCTATTGTTCGTGCCAATGTGTCCCTTGGTTGTGATAATTTAAAGGTCACATGCAACCAAAAAATAATTAAACATAATTAAAACGCAATTATAACTTATTCATGACATATAATATACATTGCTGATTATGAAATAACATATTAACAAAATTATAAGCATACAATCGCAAATCAAAAGTGCAATATTTTGTACTTGGGTTAACTTCCCTCGAAACGAAGCACCCGGGATACCGAACCCAGTCAGAGCGGGTGGGTGTGCACTCAAGTGTAACGAGGAGTTTCATTGTCTGGTTCATTTGCAGATGCCCTCACGGCTCATTGTGTGTGTGTACATAGAGATGTTGGGTTTTGTAAATACATGACCATTTTGTGTGTATAACATTTTGCAATCAACAGACATCATAACATGTCATGTGTACAAGTATCACACCTGCCTGTCTGTGTAATTACATAATGTGACAGAGACCGAACTCGGGCCATAAATCAATGCGTTTTGTTTATGGTGTATAGCCTGATAGGTGTTAAGTTCAAATTGCATGTGGTCAGTGATCGAAGTTGTGTATTGAATATTGTCATTAGCAGACAGGCAGGCAGACACATAGGTGTCAATAAAACAGACATTGAGTTTTGTCTGTGACAACGACATATCTATATCACAGTTAGAAATTCTGTCAATGCTAAATAATGACATTGCTTTTAAGTATCGAACTGAGAAAGTGACTCGGTAAGAAGAACGTGTGGTGAAATAGACAAATGAAATTATATGAACAGTTAAATCGGTAATCTACTGTCATAACATATAAAAAGCTCGCGCCTGTGAAATATCAACAAAACATTAGAAAAATAGCTCACATCAAAGCCTTCACCGAGTATTCACCGCCAGCGAAGGTTTTCCGTCTTGAAATGTCGAACGCCTCACTGGTTGACACATAGCTGAGTAGATCTAGATCCTAACAAGGTTCTTTTATGTAATGAGTAGATTATTTACTATTTGTTTTGATTAGACTACTCCTTCTCACGACCTTATATTAAATCCGGAATCCCGCTTCCAAGCTGCGCGAACCTATTTCACTGCACATGCGCTATGAGCGCAGCCCAGCGCAGCGCAGCACAGCTGTTGAAACCACTTTTCACCCCAAGCGCTGGGATGAATTTAGTGAATCGTTTGAACTCAGATTTCGCGGGTTTTTTTCATCGCGTTATTTTTCAACTTTATAAGCTGAATTTGCATTTTTGATGATTTGTATCTGTAAGTCCATACCGAAAGGTATCAGAATCTGCAAAGTTGTGTTTTACGTTGCATGTGACCTTTAACCTGTGGGTTAATCAAAACCACATCACGGGCTTTTGATCTGAAGCAAGACTTTGAACTTTCAAAAGTTCCCAATCCCTTTCAACATTGAATAGAATATGTTCAACAAACCTGTGGGTGAGTGAGTTGGGTTGAACGTCGCTCTGAACACAATCGCTTTAAAATCATATATTTACTCACAAATTTTCTCCTTCAAAGATCTGACCACACTGGGGTTCTTTTTGGGTGAACTTTCGGATCAGACGATCTGTGCCTCCATGTTACCGATACTACTGAGAAGAAGTCGGAGCAACATTTCTGATTTCAACCTGTGAAGATCCGGGGTAGAATAGGTTTGCAGCAACCCGTGGAGATCCGGGGTAGAATAGGTCTGCAGCAACCCGTGGAGATCCGGGGTAGAATAAGTCTGCAGCAACCCGTGGAGATCCGGGGTAGAATAGGTCTGCAGCAACCCGTGAAGATCCGGGGTAGAATAGGTCTGCAGCAACCCGTGAAGATCCGGGGTAGAATAAGTCTGCAACAACCCGTGAAGATCCGGGGTAGAATAGGTCTGCAGCAACCCGTGAAGATTCGGGGTAGAATAGGTCTGCAGCAACCCATGCATGTCGTAAGTGGCGACTAACGTGGTCGGGTGGTCGGAATCGCCGACTTGGTTGACACATGTCATCGTATCCCAATAGTGTAGATCGATACTCATCTCTGGATGGTCTGTTCCAGCCCCGATTATTTACAGACCGCCGCCATATAGCTGGAATATGGCTGAGTGCGGCGGTAAACAACAACAACAACAACAACAACAACAACAACAACAACACAGCTGACGATACAGCACGGACATAGTTTGTTCCCATACTTTTCGTTGGCGTCAAACACCAAACATAATATCTAATGGGCATATTCAAATGGCGAGTGAATTGTGCACCTTGGCGTTTCTGAGCGCCATTGCGTCTACACCCAAGATGTACTTCCGGAGTTTACTTGTGTTCAGTGATTTGTTTTGTTTTAAGATTTGCGAATGGACGGGGTGAAGAAATGACGCCGAAAAGTTTTGGGAAGTTAACATCCATTTGTGTTGGCAAACTAATCCACATATCGTTTCATTTCATTTCATCCGGGTCATAGAACTCACAATTCAGGGTTTGTCGAATCCTGACGGAGCGATGTTTTGGGTATAACACCTTAACGTGGGATTCGAACCAATGTCAGAATTCTGGACATGCCAAAGGGACGTAATTCTTCACGTGGAATGGCGGCGCCTTAGATGACAGGGTCTATGGTGGCCCCTTTCATCTAAGGATGTTCTCTGTAATTTATTTAAAGCATTATCATTATTCGGTCACACCCATTACAGTAATTATCACAGTGTGTATGAGTTTCAGAGTAACACCGCACGTTGTCATTTATATTGCAGATCAGGCGAAGACTGGCATTCCTTGAGACGAGTGATCGACAAACACATGATGAAGATCAAGACGGTGGAGTCCTACACCGGAGAGTTTAACAAGGTTGTTGTAGAGTTCTTGGACCGAGTAAGCAGGATTCGAACCTCGGACAATGAGTTGCCTGCCTTGGGCCTGGAGCTGTTCAACTGGTCTCTGGAATGTAAGTGTCTGTACAGAGGTGTTCTGAGGAATATAAATGTGTTCTGGAGTACGTGTGTTCTGGACGTGTGGTTAAGTTTGCAAATACATATGATTCTAAAGAATGTGAGTGAGTGAGTTTAGTTTTACGCCACTTTTTGCAATATTCCAGTAATTTCACCAGGGGGACACCAGAAAAGGGCTACACACATTGTACCCATGTAAGGAATCGAACCCGGGTCTTCGGCGTGACGAGCGAACGCTTTAACCACTAAGCTACCTGTGGCACGGTTCACTGCCAAATATGTGTCTACAAGTGTACATTGACTGCTTTGGAGAAAACGAAAAACGAGTTAATTAAGAGGGATTGAACCACAGATTTCCCAATTCCACTGAACGTCTCTCCCATTGGCGATTCAGCCCAGAGCAAGGTCTTAATATAGATAGCGTGTCGATTTCCTAAGATGTTCGTTGATACTTTAAAGAACACCACGCTTGTCTCCGGGAAATTGGCCAGATCAGGATGTGTGCATGAATGCTTGAAGCTCATATTCCAGTTGTGGAATGTTTCCAAAAGAGTCATGCAGTAACATTCACTGACATTACTTACGTTTGATCCTGCACCTGGTATATAGGAAGTAATACTTACATTGGCACAAAAGATCATTTAAAACTACCCGGGTAGCTTATGTTTAATGCTTCAATTATTTTGCGAGAAAAAGCAAAAGGTCCTATCCCTTAATTCATGTTCACCATTTACTACACCTTACATTAGCTAGTTCGCCTGTCATTAGACGCGAGGGTACATTGATGACCTTATAACACATCGTCCACAGCCATCGCCCGTATCCTGTACGAGAAGAGACTCGGGTGTCTGTCGGACGACAGGAGCGAGGACACCCAGGTGTTCATCCAGAGCTCCCATGACATCTTTGAGACAACCAGGAAGATAATCTTCCTTACACCGAGAGCAGCCCGGATCTTGAGGCCGTTCGCCTACAGGAAGCATATATCTGCCTGGGATGAAGGTTTCCGTGTTGGTAGGTCGTCGGTATCGCATGCTTCAGTTCTATAGTCTAGACAAACAAATGTCCCGATTTTACAGCCTATTGTCAAATCACTGCCATTTGTACAGACATATACTACCCATCAAAAGTTTAGACTCACTAGTGTAAATGTAGCCACTTACTTCAGTCAACTGTTCTAAACTAGATTTTGCAAAATATTCCATACTGTTTAAAGGTACTGTTTACAATAACTGATGTATTGTAAAACAAATTCGTAACGTTGAAAAGATTATTGTCAATAAATGATGAAACTCAGTGAAAATCGGCGAATCCTTAACAAAACTTTACACCAAAACGCAGCTGTTCACATGCACGACATTTGCACATGCTTTTCAACAATTTGATGGATGATCCTCATGCAATTCACCTGCATAAGGTTTGCAGTTGGTTCCTCCAAGTTAGGGAAAAAAATTCATCTTCGATGTAACCACATATATATGCATAACATATAGTGAATGCTTTAAGTGAGTCTAAACTTTTGATGGGTGGTATATTACTCTGTGTCTTGTTGCAAGGCAGGATTGTTTGGGTTGCTCATGAATTTTGTGCACACATTATCTCTGCTTCTAACTGCGCAAGGCAGGTTGGATTGTTAATGTTTTGGGATGTGTACAATTCAAAGCAAAATTTACAGGTAAAGTCTTTTCATCAAAATATGCATTGTCGTGCCCTGGATAAGATGATTTGTGACCCTTTGTGTCAAGTTCGAACATATTAGCGTCAAAAGACACAAGTCCATGATGTTGTGAGGCTGGAGAAGGAATGGAGAGAAAGTGGGTATTGTTTATCCACATTGTTGTGTTGGTAATGGCAGTGCCAGACCACAAGGCACGCGTTTACTTTCTGATTCTTGTTTATTAAAAGTCCCTAGGTGTTTCGTGTGTGTCTTTTTAGCGCACAAGACCATAGACGAAAGAATCAGGGAGATACGAGAGACGAAGGAGGAAGGAGAACACGTGGGATTTATCACTCACTTCCTGAACGAGGACAGCATGTCTCTGAAGGACGTGTACGCCAACATCTCAGAACTCATGGGGGCAGCCGTAGACACGGTGAGTTAGTGAGTGAAAACTCTGAACTTCCGGGGCAGCTCAACAAGCACTTATTACATGAGCTCCACCCCGGAACTCAAGAAAGCCACTTCAGCTTACGCCGTGGCCTGTTTGTCTTTTGACATGGGTCGCAAACATCTTCTCCTCAGATTCCTCTGGACCCGTGAAGACCCGTAGAATTGGTCTTCAGCAACCCATGCTTGTCGTAAGAGGCGACTAATGGTATCGGATGGTCAGTCTCGCTGATTTGGTTGACACACGCCATCGTAACCCAGTCGCGTAGATCGATGCTCATGCTGTTGATCACAGGACTGTCTGGTCCACACGAATATTTACAAAATGCCGCCAAAATGAAGCTAAAACGTCAAATACATCCTCCCACCAATGATGACGCCCAAATTTTTCATGAATTTTGAGTTCGGTTTTTGTTATAGCCACCAGGACAGGAATGAGTTGTACATTAACAGTGTTTACATTGTCGACATTAAATACTCTTGACTCTAAATCAGATCAGCAAACGCACTGTTGCACAATTTTGGAATTTGGTTCTTTACAGACATCAAACACCGCGCAGATGGTGTTGTATGAGTTGTCGAGAAACCCACATGTACAGGACGCCATCTATGAAGAAATCTCACGAGTTGTTCCCCCTGGCGAGCAGCCAACAGCTGATCATCTGAAGGAGATGCATTACATCAAGGCGGTCATTAAGGAGACGCTCAGGTACACGCTAATGACGATATAGCTGTCTCTTATAAATCAGTAAAAGCACTGTGGAGCTGATGTATGAGAGCACAAGACCTCCATGTGTTATTTTCAAAACTGAATGAGTGCTTATTTCGATGCCACTGATTTTATCACTATTATCAGCAAACCTTCCTATTTGAAAAGACCCGTGAAGATCTGGGTTAGAATTGGTCTTCAGTAACCCATGCTTGTCGTAAGAGACGGCTAGCGGAATCGGGTGGTCATGCTCGCTGACTTGGTTGACACATGTCATCGTATCCCAATTGCGTAGATCGATGTTCATGATGTTGATCACTGGATTGTCTGGTCCAGGCTCGATTATTTACAGACCACCGTCATATAGCTGGAATATTGTTGAGTACGGGGTAAATCTAGACTCACTCACTCACTCGTATTAGAAAACATCAGTTTGAAGGAATTATTTCGATGTTAAAATTTAATTATATAGAGAAAAATAAGAAATAGCCTATAGAATGGTGTATATAAAAAAGGTTTATCTCTTATATATGCGTAAAGGGACTTTCCATTAATTTAACAAATATTTTGGCTCCGGTTTTATCAAAGAAAGGTAACTGTTCACTGAACATGCCGGATGTCCTTTGTTCCTCATTTAGTACAATAACATGTATTTATTTCTCTTGACCTTGATACCCGTCTTCCAGGATGTACCCTTGTCGTTAGTTCCGTATTTTACTTTAAATTGAAGATTGATTTGTATGGAATACTGGAAAGGAGACGGATCTTCGTCGTCTGTTAGTTTTAGATTTATCCAAACTTACCCTAGACTTCGAGTGAAGCGGACCTTGGACTTCGGAGTTGAAGATGTTTAAGACATTCTGCTATGTGTATGCCATTTGACACTGCAGGCTGTGTCTCACCGGAACCTCTGCCATGTATCTGCACAGTGTTTTAACACTTGCCTTGTTGTTGATTAGGTTGTACCCGACCGGAAGTGTAGTGATCCGAATCCTACAACAGGACGCTGTGCTACTGGGTTATCAGGTGCCAAAGGATGTAAGTAGGATATCTACTGTAATTAGGATATCTACTGTAAGTTCGTTAAATCGAAACTCATTGATCGGTATAATCACCATTGATTATAATTAACCACTGATCTGCATGACCATTGATCTGTATAATAATCAATGGTTATTATACAGATCAATGGTTAAGTATAATCAATGGTTACTATACAGATCAATGGTTAAGTATAATCAATGGTTATTATACAGATCAATGGTTATGTATAATCAATGGCTAAGTATAATCAATGGTTATACAGATCAGTAAAGTATAATCAGATCAATGGTTAAGTATAATCAATGGTTATTATACAGATCAATGGTTAAGTATAATCAATGGTTATATCAGAGTATCAATGGTTATTATACAGATCAATGGTTATATAATCAATGGTTCAATGGTTATATTAAGTATAATCAGATGGTTATATACAGATCAATGGTTATTATATCAATGTTAAGTATAATCAATGGTTATTATACAGATCATCAGATCAATGGCTATATAATCAATGGTTATTTATTAAGCAGATCAATGGCTACAGATCATAATCAATACAGATCAATGGTTAAGTATAAATCAATGGTTATTCATACAGATCAATGGTTAAGTATAATCAATAGTTATACTTATCAATGGATTAATGCATAACTCAATGATCTGTATAATAACCATTGATTTATATAACCTATCGATCTGTATAATAACCATTGATAAGCATAATAACCATTGATAATCATTGATCTGTATAATTATCCAAATGCACTCTTCTTCGATTCAATCACAGTACATCTTATGTTCTGCATATAATGATAGCGTTCGGGACAGTTTAATCTATGCAGTTCGATTGGAGGATATCAGAGTGGATTTTATTCATTTTGACAGACTATGGTATGGGTTGACCTCTACGGCTTCGGCCGTCTAGGACGTCACTACGAGGACCCCAACACATTCCTCCCTGAACGCTGGCTCCGAGCTACCAGAACAGTTAGCCCACATCCTTTTTCCTTTCTGCCGTTTGGATTCGGTCCTCGAATGTGTGTCGGTAGGTAATACTCTCTCTTTCTCGAATTGACTCTTCAAGGGTGACAGTAAACATGCTCACTGACTGATTTCGTGAGATGTCAACACTCCCTGCACATCGTTTCAAAACACATCATTACTGCTGGCTTCGTAATTATTTCGGCAGGTGTCGGTACTACATGCACGTGGACTATTTCGGCAGGTGTCGGTACCACATGCACGTGGACTATTTCGGCAGGTGTCAGTATAACCTGCATGTGATTTTTTTGGGTAGATGGTCTTTGAGTATATCAGTGTAGTACAAATTTATAACCTTGTAGTTCTGTTACAGGTCGGCGAGTAGCAGAGTTGGAGATCCAGCTGCTGATATCCCAGGTGAGTTGGGAGACTGAGCGCCTTCTTGTGTTCAATACAGAACTAATCATGTTATGATGAAATGCCAGTAAGAGTGCAAGTGGAACCATTCTCACCTGAAGCAACTCTTTAGCTCACATGTACCTATCTTACATTCAAGATGTGTGTGTTGAATACCTATACCACAACAAACCCTAATCTTAAAGTCATTTGTGTTTCAGATTGTGCGCAAATTCAAGATAGAGCCCGTGTCTATGGAACCAGTCGAAATGAAGACTGACCTCCTACTATTGGCCAAAGATCAAGTCAGAATCCGTCTACACGAGAGAGACTAGACTCAAATTCGCCTTGGAAATACGAACTCATTGCAGTCTGATGTAGCCACCTGCATTGTGTGTGGGGATATTTTAGAAACGCCATCGAAAAAAACTATATACGAGATCAAACGTCACGAGTAATAAGTTTGTTGTGTTATTGTATTGTTAGGAACAATTAATAAGATCGAAACTGTTATTGTTGAGTTAGGCGCCGTTGACATAAAATACATCGTTGCATCACGTGTACATTGAGGGCTAGTATTCTATTTCCCTCTGTTATCCATGTACAGTTTCTTATATTCACCAAGGACCAATAGGTTTTCTTAATATAGGTGTTCAGTGGGTGTATATATACATATGTGGTGTTAAACACTTGCCTACCTCAGCTGGGACACAACTCCATTGTATGTATTAACGTTTTTATAATCACAATAAATTCATTCATGCAACACTGACTTGTGACGTCACCATAAATTGTGCAATGACACAAAATGCCTCAGTGTAAGCAGGGTTGGGGTTCTAATCCAGTCAACATTCCGTATCTTGATGACTACAGATACTCTCATGGGGCGTTGCTCACTTTGTCACAATAAATTAATTTTATCCCTTATATACACTTCGAATGATGTTGGGGACGCCATTCTTCTATACTATACTGCACCACAAAAGAAATGTCGCACTGATAGGGTTTCTTAAAGCACACACTTTAATTCACTCTAATTAACAATCAAATAGGAGGACTGAGTTTAAACTTGACAATTATGGTTAACACATTTTCGGGAATCACATTTAGAGTTCACACAAACAAATCACCAAAAATGGTACCATTAAGATACCTCAAAGTCAGTATCGTGTGTGGCCTCTATGGGCATTGGTGAAATCGTTGCATCGTCTGTACATGGAATGAATTAGCCGGTCGATGAAGGCCATAGGCACTTGGGTCCATACTCTGCGAAGTCCAGCCACAGTTGTCGGCCTTGGTTGGAGGCCATTCAGTCTTCTTTGAATCTCGTCCCAAAGGTGTTCTGACTGGACTTAAATTCGGAATGAGTGCAGGCTATTGTAGGGTTTGGATGCCATGTTGTCTTAGGAGGTCCAATGTTGCTCTGGCAGTGTGGGCACGACCGTTGTCTTGCTGGAAGATGTGATTTCTGTAACGTCCAAAATGTGGTACAACGTGGGGTCTTATGATTTAATCAATATAGCGAGCAGCTGTCATGTCATTGCCTCATCCTGGATTCTGGAACACCGCGGTGTCAACTAACTGTTCAGACCGATTGCACCCCACACCATGATGCTTGGACTACCCCACAAGTCTCTTTCAACAATACACTCATTGGAAAACATTTCACCACGCCCTCGCCTTACTCTCACTCTGCCATCGACTGTCGAAACACAATATCGGCTTTCATGAGATTGTTCTCCATTGTCGATAACCTCAATTTCGATGCTGAGTTGCCCATTTTGGTCGGTTTGGGCGGTGATGAGCGGTGAGGAAAGGACTACGATATGATCTGTGACAGCAGAGGTTTCTTCCGTTTTGGTCTGGCGTGCTGTTTCCGTTGCTTTTGGGAAGCGATCCTGCAGATGGTTGCGCACAGCCTGTCATTCTTGACGTTGTGATGTTACTGAAGGTCGCCCACTGCGTTGACGGTCCTGAATGCTCTTAGTGACCTGATACCACTCCTGCTGTCCTAACATGAACATTAAAATGATTGGCTACCCTCTGATCTCCTTGGTTCCTCTGATCTCTCGTAAGACGTGCCATGGTGGTTATGTCAAAACAAAAATGATTTAGGCGAGCTTGGGACCCGCTTTCATTGGTAGGGTTGTCACGACATGCACGTGCATTTTCATTTTCACGAATGTCATACGGAACCTTCTACCATGTCTGCCTCTTTCGGTGCGTTTGGTCGATATGCGTTTTCATCAGAAAACACACTGATGTTGGTAAAAACTGTCAATTTGGATTGCAAAACATGTTAAGAAAACGGTACAAACATAATAAAAACACCACCTTGCAAGAACAAAATTTTGCATGTGGTTTTGCAAAGCGACGTTTCTTTTGTGGTTCAGTAAATTATAATCTGCATGATGGACGCCATTCATCTTGAAATTAGAACAACTAACCTGCATGATAAGTATATCTGATCACAACAGATAAAACTATGGACACTACAACATTTGCTTTTATAACTGCCTACCTCCAGCAATGGCCTGGTCTTGGAGTTCTGTTATACACGTCCAAAAGAAACTTGATACCTGACAAAATACTGACTGTGTGCAGAATATCAGTCCCATGGCACTAAAACCTTTTGTAATATGAAGATAAATATGTTAACAAGCAGTTTACAAAATTTAGTTAAGTTTTATTGAACATTAAATTATGTCATGACGTGCCGTTTATAGAAGGGGTGAAATTTGAAATTTACATATCTAAAAGATAAAGACTTTAAAAGTTATGAAGACTTACAGAGTAGTAAAAAAGCATTGTCAATAACGGATGTGTCCTTTGGCCTGGATGCATGCAAACACACGTCTGCGCACTGATGACGTCAGCCGTCTGATGACGTTGTTGGGGATTCTCTGCCACTCCTACCTCAACGCTTGTTTCAACTGTGAACGTGTTTGTGGAGGTGGTTGTCGTTGTCTGATACGGCGATCGAGGTGGCTCCAGAGGTGCACGATCGGTGACATATCAATAGACCTAGGGGGCCAGGGTAGAACGTTGACGTTGCGATTAAGAAAGTCCTGTACAACTCTAGCAACGTGGGACCTGACGTTGTCATGTTGGAAGAGAGTCCTTCGCTGCTGTTGCTGCAGGAACGGGAGAACTTCCGGCCTCAAAACCTGGTCGATGTAGCGTTGACCAGTCAGTGTCTCGTGAAACACAAGTGTAGTGGTCCGGTCTCCAATAATGCTTCCCCAGATCATCACACTCCCTCCACCGAAAGGCCCCGTCTCCTGAATGCAACAAGGAGCCATTCGTTCGCCCACTCTCCGGTAAACTCGTGTCCTTCCGTCATTATGGAACAGAGAGAACTTGCTCTCGTCAGAAAAGAGTACTTTTTGCCAGTCATGTATCTGCCAGCGTCGTACTTGACGTGCCCACTGTAATCTCTGCTGGCGATGTCTAAGTGTCAGGAAAGTTCCTCTGTACGGTCCGTAGTTCCTAATCGCTAATGGCGTAGGGACGAAGAAGTCTGGCCACTGTCTGTCGACTGTGGCGGCGAGCCAATGCCGTTGTTGCCGTTGACATTGCCGCCAGGAAGCGTTTACATTGGTTGAGATTACGGATGTTCCGGTCTTCCTGTGCCGTTGTGATGCGGAGTCTCCATGATCTGGGCCGGTCTCTTGTCTGGCCAGTCTGTTGGAACCGCTGGATGAGGTGGGATATGGTCGTAGTAGAGCAACCGAAGGTTCTTGCAACGTGACCACGAGAAGCGCCCATTTGGATCATACCGATGGCTCGTTCACGCTGTTCTGCTGTCAGTCTGGACATTCTCGCTGTGGTTTTCCAATGACACTGATGACAGCGGGTCATATGGAGGCATTTTATACTAAATATTGCACGTGCGGTTCGTGCAGCTGCGAGAAAACCGATTTTACAACAACCTTGCCTATGAACCATGATTTGGAAATGTTGCGTTCCCGCTATACATTTCAAGTCACTATGAACACGGGAGAACTCGGGACATGGTATTTTGCAATATTAAAATAACATTTTCTTTAGAGCGAAAATAATAGGCGTCAAGTTTCTTTTGGACGTGGATATATACTATTAAGTTGTGTTTTTGATCATGAATTGGCATGACGTAGACCTGAAAGGTCGTGACAACAGTCGGGAATTGATTATACATAAATCATAATCAATAAACAGGCACTCGTCCCACGCCTGGGGTGAATAACTGTGGCTTTTCTATAACTGCTCTTGTTGTAACCTATTCCAAAGTTCACCAGCTTCTGGTGCACATTCGTAGCGAAACACCATGATAACTACATGGATATATAGCCACTGTGTGCATATAATAGGCAAGTCTAGATCAGCGATTTATACATCTAAGGACGTTTGTCTTTTATAGACATAACGTGTTCGAAACATAATCTATTTTTTTTCAACTTAAACTGAGAGCCCCGGAGATTGGTGCAAGTCAAGCACTTTCCCAATACCCATGTCGTTTAAGGTTGCAGTCACCCAGTGAGTTAAACCTAACTTGTCCTACATTGACTAATATGGCCAGAACGTCCACGGATGCTTCTATTTTTAGTGTCCGTGGCTATGACAAGCATGTTGTCACGAGTCGTGTTGATCACTGTCTGATCGGCCATATCTGCTTGGGACCAGGCTGCGTGTCATCGTGTCTCGCCGGAATTACCTCCTTTTATTGTTGCGCAAACATACAAGACACAAGCTAAATTGGTGAAAAATAGAAGACTTTACTACCAGCAGCTATAACACAGGCACAACCACACGATCTTTCTCATGTCACTGAAGCAAACACTAACGTGTTAACTAAATAGGCACAATCACCGAAGTGACAGCACGATTAGACACTAAACACTTAAAGCCTGCTATATACCCTGAAAACCAATATATATTGTGAATAAGATACAAGTATTGAAGTAATACAACTTACAAAACATCTTACAGAAGATTAAACAAGCCAATTCTGACTGGAAATGAAGTTAACTTGAGTATGGATTTAGTAACACATATGGCATGCGTATCAGAGCCAACTGTTGTAACTAGCAAACACATGTACACAGGGTGGGTTCCCGAAGAAGGTCGCCCGAAGATGGTTGTGGGTGGGTGCCCGGAGTAGGCGGTTGGTGAATGGGTGCCTGACGAAGATGATTGGTGGATGAGTGCCCGAAGTTGCTTTGTGGGTGAGTGCTAGAAAGTGGTTTGTGGGTGGGTGCCCGAAGGCGGTTGGTGGATGGGTGCCCGACGAAGATTATTGGTGGGTGGATGCCCGAAGGTGTTTTGTGGGTGAGTGTGTGGGTGGGTGGATGGGGAGGGGGAAGGTGATTGGTACGGGGGTGAGAGAAGATTCAAACCACCCGCCTTGCGGTCATGTAACAATGACTTTTGACATCACCAATTGTGCAATGACACATTCTATACCATAGAGTAAGCAAGGATGGGGTTCTAACTCAGTCGACAATTCCGTACCTTGATGACTACGGATCCTATCATTGGACTTGCTCATTACACCGATAACTGGTTCGTGATCCATGTTTGATTCTTTACATGGCGCCGTGGTGTAGTTGGAATTATGGGGACTATGATGTAAAACAACCAAACAGAAGCTATATTTATGTTATATATTACTTCCTTGACTGTAGAGAGCGCATGGATGGATGGATACCCATGTAATAGAGTATCTTTGAGTGTTTCCTTACAAGAGGGGCGAGTGTTTCCTTACAAGAGGGGCGAGTGTTTCCTTACAAGAGGGGCGAGTGTTTCCTTACAAGAGGGGCGAGTGTTTCCTTACAAGAGGGGCGAGTGTTTCCTTACAAGAGGGGCGAGTGTTTCCTTACAAGAGGGGCGGTGTGGTAGCCTAGTGGTTAAAGCGTTCGCTCATCACGCCCCACATGGGTACAAAGTGTGAAGCCCATTTCTGGTGTCTCCCGCCGTGATATTGCTGGAATATTGCTAAAAGCGGCGTAAAAAAAGAACTCACTCACTCACTCCTTACAAGAACCCTCTCTGAATGACAATTGTAAATCTGGCATACCATCCCTTGCATGTTGTCCGAGGTCACATGCTTCATGACTGTCACGATGTTGTTTTTTCGAGCAGGATTTCTTTGGGAATGATCTTGTCACATAAATCACTTCCTTTATTGCTAGGCATTGGTGTTCGTTCCTTTAAGTTTAACTAAAAATACACTGTTCTTTTTTGCATAGAACATTAGTATTTTAGTCGCCTTTTCTTAAATTGGATTTCAGTTGCAACAGGGCTGGTCCGTGTTTCACAAATTGATCGCTGTAACCCCTATACTTTACAGAGGTGATAGTCGTCTTCCGCAGAGCGCTTTGAGAAAGGTGTTGGAAGGGTTACGTTGAAGGGTTGAACAATTAAATAAAAGAAATGGTTCATGCCCACCCTTCAGCATCAACTCCTTAAAAATGCTTTTTTTCCCCCAAAAGGGGGGCAGAACTTCAATGTGGTCTTAAGTCATTTTAAACAAAAAGCGGGGTTCGAAACACACACACACACACACACACACACACACACTCTCTCTCTCTCTCTCTCTCCTACTCTGGATCCGTCGATGGGGCTAATAATACTACCCGTTAAGGTCCGGGTTAGAACTGGTCCTCAGTAACCCATGCTTGTCGTAAGAGGCGACTACCGGGATCGGGTGGTCTGATTCGCTGACCTGGTTGACACGTCATCGTATCCCAGTTGCGTAGATCGATGGCCATGATCACTGGATTGTCTGTTCCAGACTCGATTATTTACAGACCGCCGCCATACAGCTGAAATATGGCCGAGTGCGGCGGTAAACAACAACACAAAACAACAAAGCTAACGATACAGTACGGACAGAGTTAGTTCCCCTACGTTTCACGTCGATGCAGGTTTGAGGCGTCCGATGCTACATGAAGCGGACCTACAATCTAAGATTGCTGCTAACTTCTTCCTGCGGATTTCAGAACATTGCAGGACTGTACCAGCTAAAGGCGATGGGTACCACACTGGCACGTTGCTTGGTTCACTGTGTCTAGGCGTTCCCGTTCATGCAACAGTTAGATGTGACTGTAAACCTTCTGGCGCCTAACCTGCAGTTCGGGTTGTTGCCCCAGAGAGTGAGCATAGTTTTACGCCGCTTTAAACACTATTCCAGCAATATCACGACGGGCGACACCAGAAATAGGCTTCACACATTGTTAACATGTGGGGAATCGACCCTGGGTCTTCGGCGTGACGAGCGAACGCTTTAACAGTTCGGCTACAGAAATGGGCTTCGACATCACTGAGGGGACTACAGAAATGGGCTTCGGCATAGTGTGCCCATATGGAGAGTCGAACACAGACCTTCGGCGTGAAGGCGACCACTAGACTACCTCACCGCCCCTTGTCGAAAGGGAGACTATTATACTCAGCAGCAAAAAAACCCGTCAGTACTAATTCAAAATTACATAGGCCCTGTAATCAAATTATTACAAAAATGGACATAATAAGCGGTTCCAAAACATTTTTTTGTTCAATATCTTGACACATCAATAAATAACTCAAGACAATTTCAAGACATTACGTGAACGTTTGCAGTCCATTCAGACTCTTGACTTCAGTATCTAGTGTGACCACCACGAGCGGCAATAACTGCAGCACAGCGTCTATGCATGGAGTGCACCAGTTGATTGATGAAGACCATTGGCACTTGGAACCACACTCTGAGAAAGGCCTGGCGCAATAAATTGGCTGTGTTCGGCCTTGGTATAACATTATTCAGTCTCCTCTGAATTTCATCCCAAAGATGTTCAATTGGGTTTAAATCAGGACTAAGGGCTGGCCACTGCATAATGTTGACACCGTTCTGCTGTAGGAAGTCCCGTGTAGCTCTGGCAGTATGGGCCCGGGCGTTATCATGCTGGAAAATGTTGTTCCGGTGACGTGCGAAATGTGTTATGACGTGGGGTCTGAGAGCTTGGTCGATGTAGCGCACCGCTGTGATGCCGCCTCCTCTCCCTGGACCAAGGTTCTGGAACACCACAGGACCCACTCTCTGGTTCAGGCCTATTCCTCCCCATACCATGATGCTTGCACCTCCCCATGAGTCTCTTTCAATAACACATTGGTCTGAGTAACGCTGGCAACGTGGTCGCCATATTCTTGTTCTGCTATCTGCAGTTGATACGCAGTATAACGACTCTCATCTGTGAACAGAACAGTTCTCCATTGCCTGTATCGCCAGTTTTGGTGTTGTAGTTCAAACTGTAGACGTTCACGCAGATGACGAGGGGTGAGGATAGGTCCACGGATAGGAATACGGCAATGGTGGTTCCCGCTGTTAAGACGTCGTGTCTTCCGTGTGTTCCCATTGTCTGGCGTGCTGTTTCGGAGGCCTGCATGAAGGGATTCTGTACATGCTGTCGCACAACATGGCGGTCTTGTCGTCTTGTGGTCACCCTTGGTCTGCCAGTAAGGGGGCGATCATTTGTGGTGTTGGTGGCCCGGAAACGTTGCTGCAGCCTGTAGATGGTCCGAACGTTCACCTTGAAATGATTGGCAACGGCTTGTGCAGTGCGGCCAGCTCCAAGTCTACCAAGCGCCTGGTTCCTCAAAGCTGTCGTGAGTCGCGGCATCCTGCTGACGTTGTAATGTGAATGTTTCAACCAGGTTTGGGGGTGCATTTCATAGGGCTGGTCCTTGTGAACAGCACGTGCAGCATGAGTTGCATGAAAAACATGGAGAACACCGTACCATCTCCGAGATCAGGTTGCGTTTTTGAGACCGTTTCCTGGGTTCCATTCTGAGTTTGGGAAGGAATG